ATCGGGGTTTCCTCCGAACTTTTCAAGGTCAGTCAGCAAAGAGTGCGAAAACGAGAGGTTTTTTAAGAAAGCTCACAGCAGCGGCGTGTTGCTTCAGCCATTTCAGCCCTTGGATCTGGTCCTTGAGGCCGTTGTTCATACTCGCGCCAGCCTCTACCTCCTTGCTCTGCAAGAAACCATAGGGCCCTGTAGCTAATATTAGCCTCTGCTCTGCGAGTTCATGATGCGGTGCGACATGTATCATCATTCAATCACATACCAACTCTATAGTTCACCTGAACGACCAGCATGTTTCCAAACCTGGCCAGATCACTGCCGTTGAAGTTGGCGTTGGAAAGAGACTGGAACCCGCCGCCTTGGATGAAGTACATGACGGGCAACTTGGACTCCGGTGTCGCGTTCGATGGCGCAAAGACGTTAACATAGAGACAGTCTTCGTCCGTCGTGAAGCGCTTGTTCGGCTTCATGGTGAAGTCGGAGGCACTTCGGGCCAGACATATCGGGCGGAACTGAAAGACGTGTTAGCAAAGCGAAGCTAATTCCACCAAGCTCACTTGAAGATATCTTACGTTCGAAGCATCGACAACATCAGTCGTGTTCGGGGGATCAACCGGTGCCGCGAACCGGAGCTGGCCCACCGGCGGCGCAGCAAACCGGACGCCCAGCCAGCGAGTCGCACCGCCCTGCTCGGCGACTCCTTGGAGTTTGGTGTAGCCAAGGTCTACAAGCGGGTCAACCGCCTGGACCTGGCCGATGATTGCGGCCGAAAGAAGAGAAACGAGGGATTTGGTTAGGGAAGGCATTATTACAGAAGTGACAGACTTAGATTAAAATGATAATAGGGACAAACTAGACACAATCATCGCCAATAACTAATCACAGCCAAGGAGAGAATTCGACCATCATCCGAAGAAAGAGACTGAGCGGTCTTGTCATCTGTTATAGGGTTATAGAGACTGAACTTGAATTAGACCAGACCAGACTGACAGCCCCGAAACCGAAACCAGACCGGAGTATTTTGTTGACTCGAGGGCCATCTTCTGCACCCGGCTTGCCAGCTTCGTGGGCTTTTAAAAGCTTCTCCGGGCTGTCCGCAGGTTTGGAGTTTGGGTGCGGGGGTTTCAGAACCGGGTCTTTGAAGCGATCTTGTCGCGAATGTCGTGTTCCAGAACAACGAACTCTATTCGGAGCAAAGATTTCAAGATGGACATATGATCCACAGGCAGGGATCCCATTCTCCGTAGCCGAGGGCAGAAGAAAGCACCCCTCTTTATCATGGCAGGTTTAACTGAGCCCTTTAAACTGCCGCGGCCATCCTCCGCGGCTGGGGTATCATCCGCACATTTAGAGTTTTTCGTCGCAACATTACCCTGTTTCCCCTTTTCACGCCATCGCATCATCCATGCTGCTCAGATGCATACTCTTTAGGATGACAAGATTCATAAGATGAACGCTCCTTGGCAGAGGGTTTCAGTGGGATCGAATAAGACGAGATGCTTTTCTCTCATCGTGTCAGCCACTCTTGACTCTGCATGCTCTCCTAGACCGCTTTAGGAAACGTCGTATCATTTGTCTTGCCGACTGACTGGTAAGTGATATCTGAACCCATGACGCCGCAATCTCCTATCCACACAGGTTGCAGTTGTGACGGCCGAGGTTGCAGTCGCTATCCGTTGGGTGTGCCATTCCGATCTTTCGGCACCAACCGGCCGTTCGGCGTGAACCATCCAATCTGTTAGCATGACAGTATCAACGACAATTGGTGTAACGAGACTGTAGTCTGTATATTCAACGTGACCAGATAGTTGTACAGGAGTGCTATTTACAGCTGAATTATGTACAATAGAAGATGATACAGAGATGTAAGTTGCTTGGGAGGTATTTGCTCATAGCGCGAACTCACTTTTTACTCATAGACATAGCAGAACGGAGATCCTCCGACAGTGTTCATCAGGTCTCTGAGCTTGGCCGATCCGCCAATGGGAGAAATGTCGATAAGATCATCCAAAGTGGCGTTGGCACTCGGCGGGTTGTTTTGCAATGTCCTGGTGCCAAAGATGTCCTTCAGAACAGCAATAGTTAGTATTTTCTCAATTAGGATACACGTAAGACTGCAAGGCTTCTTTCATCGGGTTTCTGACGTACCTGTCTGTTGGCAAAGTCAAGCATCTGCCAGATCCAGTAGACGCGGTCGATTTGGGCGTGGTGCAGGAAGAAGGCGGGCTCGCCGGGAGAGATGAAGGGATCCGCGCCGGGGTCGCCTTTACGCAAAGTTAGTTGCCGTCGAAGTCAAGATGTGCACAAAAGTCTTTTTAAAACTTACCTCCTATCGTGTAGTGGCCTCCCCCGTGAATGCCGACCTCGCTGCCGGGCGTATACCTGTCATCACCCTGCATAACCGCCTGGAACCACTCAATGTTGTCGTTACCGAGGATCAACTCAGTGGTATTGCGTAGCGAAGAGTATCGGGCAGCAATGTGCTTGTTGAGGTCACGCTTCAGGCAGCGAGGGTGGTCATCGGTCGGCTTGTCGACGGTCAGCGGCGTCGTGGTGCCGTACTGCCACAGCAGCCGGGGCCCGACGTGGACGACCATGTCGGAGAAGGGTCCGGTCTCGACGCAACCACCGCCCGAACCGGGCTCGAGGATGATGGTAGTGTTGGTGAAGCTCTGGAGGAGGTGCATGCCCTCGTGCTCGATAGCTGCGCCGTTGCTTCCCATGGAGGTCTCCGAGCCGTCGAAGACCGGCGACTTAGCTGGGTCTTCAACGTCGAAACCCCATTCCCAGTAGGGGAACGTTCCTGTTACGCGGGCAATTAGATTTGAGTCTTTACCCTGTGGATGAATCGAGAAGTGCTAACCGGTGTAGCCGCAGACGTTGCGGAGGTTTTCCTCATACGTCCATGTGAAGTATCTGTGCCAAAGGAGGAAGTTCGCCTAGATCGTCCCACTCAGTCAGTCCCATTGAAGGTTTGGGTAGTACCCGTATTGACATACCGTAATGTGAATCCTTCCAGTCTGGTTGAGATGTGTCAGGACAAAGTCGTCGTATAATGACTTTGCAGACGGAAGCTCCGTGGCGTTCAACAGATTGGGGGAAGACTGAAGGCACTTGACCGCAGCGACATACGCTTTGCGCTCTTCGGCAGGAATCGTTCTCCTGAAGACCCAATATCAGCACGCCGTGATCAAGGAACGGGGTCATCATACATAACTCACCATTCTTTCCGTACGCGCAGCTTGTCGGGCGTGCAGGTCGAGTTGATACCCATCCGTTGGTTCAGCGCCTTTGAGGCCTCGAGAGCCTGCGCTGAGAGCTGGGTAAGGGCATCGCCGTTGTCAATCGCCGTCTGCGTAAAGTTGTGGGTTGTGGTCTTGGCAGAGGTAAGGGCAGCGTTGCCGGCGGCAAAGAGGAGCCAGACGCAGTGCTTAAGGACGGCCATGACGTCTGTTACTGGATGTTACCGTAATAGCAACTTTAACCGGATGAACAGCGTTCGAGACCACAATCCTTAAGCTTTTTTGAGCAACTAGATCTTCCCGCGGAACTTGAAGCCGGCCATCATAGATTATATGTTTACTGAACATGTAGGGCAGAAGGAGAATATTTAAAGGCGGCAGGCTGCCGTGGAGACTCGGAGAGAATAGGTATTCCTTTTCTAGATTACCCATCGGAGCCGATATTCTCAGGGATAGTTGCTCTCGGTTAGGGCCGTTTATCCATCTTTGAGGGAGGCTATCGTGTGTAGCATATTGGTCGAGGCCGGCAACAAGATCCATAGAATACACCCTTACCAAGCTTCTGCGGTTCCAAGTAGATGGGATGCAATGGGATCGGGTGAACTATTCGCTAGGTTCACACTTCTCAAACAGGAACGAATATCCATCAAAAAAGTTGGTCCGAACCACGCACCCACGTTGCATGACACCCGCCTTTGCAGGCTTCCAGAGCGCCGTTGTTCCAAACGGGGCAGCTCTAGAGCCAAGATGTTGGCGTGGCCAATCGGGGTTGGAATAGAGATGGGACTTTTAATCTATATCGGCTATCAACATTAAAGTTAAATTTAGCATTGCCACATTTCGGCCCACGCACTGGGTGCGAGGAGACTAAAGAGTCGACAACATCCCTTCCTCTGTGGCGTCGTGTCAGCAATGACAAAACTGGGCTACGTGACCATGGTGGACGATGCTCTCTCCACAAACAGATAATCGGCTCCGGGCACGTGGATCTTGATCATCACGGGCACCACTTAGGTGCTGGAATTTGTCCGGCTCCCGTTTGATTTGAATCAAGAAATGCGCTGTTCTTGTTCATGGTTGTTGTTGGTATCGGTGTCCTTCCACCAAGGCGGGGTGGAGCTCTGACGAGTCAGATTTCAACAAATCCATCAAGCTTGGGCGGATCCGGCCTCGGCAGTTGTTGAAATGATTCAGATGAGGCAATCAACATGCTTGAATTCCTCCGAAAAGTGTGGTCCAGCTGCGCAGGGCATCTTTCCAAGTGAGTAACAAAGCTTACCAAAATGCATCATGATGACGATCATAGTCTTTACAACTCCGTAGTGACGATACACTTTACCTCTAGCCTACTAATCGTTCTCTAAGCATCTCAAACCTTGCGTGCGATCCTGTGAGCCACGTGCAGTTTAGCTGACACCCGCACGACCCAAGCGGTTAATTATTGCTTGGTCACTATATGTAACCTTCCTAAAATATTCGTTCAGTCTCAAATTGACAGTGGCGTGATGTTTATCAAGAATGCTATCGGGGCCCTGAACCTTGTTCTTGCCGGGAACGCGGCTACCGGCACCACGGCGCCTACTCCAACCCAAGACGACTATGTAGCATTATCTACGCCTGTCAAAGTGACGAGCCAAGCGCTGCCCAATTAACTGTTTTCCTAAACGGAAAGGGTCACTTCTTTCGAGCCCCTGCCAAGTCGACTAAGCATTCTATCACGTGTCGCCGAATCGCAAGGTAATGTCAGCTTGCAATGCAACTCTGTTAAAGATTGTTATTCAAATTGGCTTATAAAGTGAAAGCTAGCTCAGGAAATTGGGATCAGTCAGCCGCGCCCTCTCTCGGGTTCGGTCTGTTACATTCTAGCGAAGAAACAGCCGTCGTAACAGATACGACTTAAATTGCGTGAGAATCTTTGCCAGCATACGAGTATGGGGTATGATAACTGGATATATACACTCAGCTTTATATAATATTGTACAGCCTCCTCTTTCTTACCTCCACCATTACCAACGAGGAAGCTCAGACCTTGACAAACCAGCCTTTGCCAATCTTTTTCGTCTTGACTATTCGCGCCAAGGTCAAGAAGAATGTCCCCAACATCAGGCAGCTGCCAGCAAAAGCCTGGGCGCCGAGGTATCGGCCGCCGGTAGCAGAGATGATGGCACCGGCGATTGGATTGCCAGTGAGCACCGCAAACGCAACAATCGTAAAGACCATCCCGATGCGCGTCCCTTGCTTGCTAGGGTCCGTCGTCAAGGCGCTGACGCCAGCCGGGAAAAGCGCCTGGATGGCGTTACCCGCGATGCCAAAGAAGATGGTCCAGACGTAGAGCCCCGATGGGGACTTGACGGCGATCCAGCAGTAGGTCAAGAGTCCCGAGATCAGAGCCATGGGTGTGAAGACGGTGATTGTGCCGATCTTGTCAGCGAGGAAATTTGGGCCTAGACGGCCGATGAAGCCGATGCCGTTCAGAACCAGCAGGAGATTCAGCGAGTCCGTGTACGAGAAGTCGAGCTCGTCACGACTGAAAGAGGCCAGGTAGTAGAAGGCAAAGTACACCCCCATGAAGGACTTGACATGGTCGAGTCAGCGCGCGACGTTCAGTTTCAACAGGCGAAAGGTGGACTTACAAAGAACCCCCCGGCAGTGTAGAAGGTATACTCCAGTTCCTTGAACGACGCCAAATCCACCATCTTGCTCGCTTTGCGCGGTGGTATGCGCGGCTTCAGGAAGATGAACCCAACAGTCAGCGTCGCAAGCTGTATAAAACCAAGTGTGCGCATGGCCCATGGAAACCCGACCTGCGGCAGCAACTGTCGAACCGTACTCGGAAATACCAAGCCACCAGACGCGCTTCCCACGGCCGCCATGCCGATAGCGATGGCCCTTCTCTTGTCAAAGTAAGTTGATAGCGTCGCTAGGGACGGGCAAAACACCAGACCGAAGCCCAGACCTACGCAGACGCCGTGCGAGAGGAAGATCTGCCAGTACTGCGTGCACCAAGACGTAGCGAAAATGCCAAGCAGGATGAGAAAACAGCCGGAGAAATACAGATGGCGAAAGTACCCTGCATCAGTGAAACGGCCTGAGAATGCGCCGATGAAGAAGAGCAGGAAGACTTGGAAGGATCCGATCCATGAGATGTCTGATGGTGGTCTCTTCAGCTGCTGGACGTAATATGTCTGAAAGACGCCGAAAGAATTGACGAAGCCCCTGCATTGCCCGTCATGTCAACCACTTAATCTTGAAGGTCCCGTTGCGCTGTGGTCTCACTCACCATGTATCCATAAAGATGAAGTGCGCGCTCAGTACTATGACAACCGCCCGTCAGCTCCACTCCTTCAGCAAAGGCAGCATCTCATTCTTACCGGCCATCCAAGCATTGTATCCCCCGTCAGGCGGCGGCCCGGGATCCGCAGTGGGCGCTGACGCGATGCGGCTCAGCACGCGCCCGACGCGGCTCCCTGTCCGGTGCGTCTCTTCTCCTACGAGACCACCTTCGTTCCGCGACGAGTCGGACCTCGTCTCCTTTTCTATGCTGCTATCCATCATCACAGTCTGTTGTTGGGCGACATGCGTTCTGCTGTCGAGAGGGTGGCGTCATAGACCTGGATGGACGTTGATCGTGAGTGTTGTGTCCTGGGAATAAGCGGCTTTTCATTCCCGTATGCTAGTCATGGCGGGGAGCGCGCAGCTTAAAGACTCTGTTTGAACCAGTTTCCTCGCGCTTTCGCGCTTACAACTAAAATCCCTTTTCTCCTTTGACTCATGGGCAAAAGTCCCTAGTTCGTCACTCAGTCTTTGCCGAGGTTAGGCGGTGTGTGTGGTAAGGGTAAATAAATAGCAGCGCCCCGCGAAACCATTACTTAGAGGCGGCAATAAGAAGTTGAAACTTGACAATTAGTCATTAGGAACTACAATTGGCACCGCTCTGTGATTGATTTATTCAATCTAAGGAGCAAATTTCACACGCCCTTGGGCGCCCTTTGGACCGGAACCGCACGGCGAGCCAACCAGGATGCCGATGAGTTGCTGGGATATTGAGCCAGCTTTGTCGGAAATGCGGCGGAAGTACCGGGGATCTTCCCGCCCCCCGCGATCTCTTCCGAACTAGTAGAATCGGTTGTCTTTTGGTTGTTAGTTGGACAACAGTTGCGCAACTTCGTACGAGCCTTGAGATTCGACTACATCTATTATCTCGGATCTGATTAGAGTTGGTTCAAGTTTCCGATGTTTATCATTGCATGATGCAAGTAATTAACTTGTTTCCAGGGCAGAAAAATGGTAAACGACTGTAATGAACTGGATGCTCGCAAGTATCTTTGCTCACATAGCCGCAAGCTGACTAACACGGTCGCTCCCTCCGCGGAGATGCATCTTACTTCAACTTCATGTCGTCGATGGCCGAGGTAATAGCAGCTTACATTTCTCTGTTCCAATTACCTAAGGTGATCTGGTCACATGTCCAGCGATGTTTCCACTGAAGAGTCATAGCTCCCATGATGAGTCGCTGTAATTTTGAGATGAGAAGAAAGCTCACAAGATGACGTTTAGGGGTACATCATCAGCAAAGATGAGACGACCCCCGCCCGAGAGGTGATACATTGAAGATGAGATTTCAGCACATGCCACCTTGGCTAGTGAGTTGTCGCTCATATCGTGCAGTCTGATGATTTCATGATTACTGAGTCGCAGGCAGCATACCTCGTGATGCGACTCACTAGTTGATAATTTTGGTGAAGGATATCGTATGAAGTGAGGGCGTTCACACCCCAAGTCGGATGGACCGTAAAGTTCATGGGCATTTTCATGCTGCAAAGGGATAAACAGAACTGAGTAGTTGCGCCAAGACTGTAGGGGAAGCCGCATTCGAGTCCGTGTTGGCCTTTAGCCTTCCAATCCAGAGCTTCTCACTCATCAATTTGCACCAGTGAGAGTTACACCTCGTGTAAGAGGGTGGTATGGGCGACGCATGGTGTCACGAAAGGGCGAGAACGTCAAGGAACCGAGAACAAGGAGATCCAATCCGGACTTCAGCAGACAGCCTTGGCTCAAGTCGCTGAGTCTTTCAACGGCTCTCTATCGTGGCCGGACTGGGACTTGCGTAGGGTGTCGCAAACGACTCTTGCGCTCCACCAAGTGCCCATTTAATGTAGGCGATACTATGAAGTCGTATCACGAGCTCCATTGGTGAGCCAGACGCTCCCTTCGCTTCAAGAACGAACCCTTTTCGTCAATTTCCCAAGACAGTCTGCCTTTATGCTCATATAAACCACAAAGTACGACGTCCGGCAAGGTAGACCAACATGAAGAGCTCTTCGGTTCTCCCAACTGTAGATTATAGTTCTCATGTATCAACGTCCTGCATCACTCTTTTGAGCGCCGAATAAACCATGCCTTCTATCAGTCTTTACCTTCTTCTTACACATACCTTGACCACGAGCCTCCTAGATAACCCAGTTCCCGTCACCGACTACACCTCCACCCCCAACATCGCCCCACGATCCTACTTCACCCCCGTCCGCGAACCCGAAATGCACCCAGTCCAATGTCACGACGAAGCCGACTTCCGCGGCCACGCCGACATTGAGCCCAAATTCTTCTTCGAGGGCGTCTACAAGTTCTGCCAGGAGCGCTACGACACGACGCAGGTCCTCGACGCGAGCGACGACCCGACGAACCCCGCCTACCACGACGGCGACGGCCGCCTGGCCCGCAACGCGAGCTGGCGGTACCGGGACTGGCACGGCGTCAACCATGACTTTAGAGTTTGGTGGGAGGCGGGCTGCAGGGTCACCGTCGGGAAACAGAGCGTGCGGCGCCCGTTGGGGGAGGAGGGGGGCCCCGTGTGGACGCCGGGGTGTTATGAGATCATGGGGTCTACGCATTATGAGTGTGAGTTTTCTTTATTTTGGGCACTCCCGATTGTCGTGGTAATCTGCGATTTGGGCATTTTGCCAAGGCTGTTTCCAGTCTATCTTGCTTATGATTACGGATTATAATACGTTGCTGACGCCCTTTCGTTTCTATCATGCAGGTAAAGGCAACGGCGGTGTTGGTGGAAGGAAGAAAGTCGGCTGCCTCATTTACGAGTATAAAGGGGGAAAGGGTGATAACGACGACCCAGCCTCTTGATGAAGAGCCGAGCAGCTTGTTGCGGGACGACGGCCACGATGAGCCATGTGAACTTCCAAAGATGGCTGGGTCTTACGGACTCATGGAGCAGATTATCTGCGAGATAAGGATATAGTTGACAGCTCACGTTGGTGATATGGCGCGTGACGAAGCGCAACTGCGATATCCCTGGTACGGTCAGAATCCCCAGACAGCCCGATACTCTATATATCCCTGTTCTCAGCCCGATGGTGGTGCCATTGTCGGATCAGCGTACATCGGACCCTGAATGACGTACAATTGAATGCAATTCTCATGAGGAGTTTAAAAGGGGATGATGGCCCGGGCATGACCACTTATACTAGTGCTACGTAGTTACGGGACCCGTGTCCAGTTATTCCGCCACTCGTCGCGAATATCAAGAAGCTGTCAAACATCTCAATATACGTCACAATGGATACGCTTTTCATGAAGGCAGTGAGCATTAAGATGCCCGACTCCCTCGCAAATTTCATACAGACCGATCCGTGGGCCGGTGGACACGCTCGAGCTACTTCTGTCAAACAATCACCACCCGCCATCAAGCAAGTTCCAGCGCCAGCACCCGCAGCAGCGAAGATGGAGCAACACAATGAGACACAGTAAACCAACCCTTTAGTAGTGCAAGGCAGAGAGAAGGAGATTTTCAAAACTTGCCATGCTGACAAATGGTGGTCAGACTAAACAGAAATCTCTCCGAGGAGACCAAAGACACGAACAGCTCGGGAGGAACGAATCGAAGCAGCGGCGAGAGCGCCGGTGGTACTCGCAGCAAGGGCAAGCCAAAGGGAGAACTATCGTCCACGGTGGATACTCTCCTGAACAAGGCGCTGGGTTTCGGAGCTGCGAGTGAGGCTGAGAAGAAGAAGAGCGGTGCTGCTTGAAGGTTTCGAAGGGGCGGTTACGAAAGTATGATCCATGTTTTGAAGCGTTATTTTGTGTAGTAGATTGTACTTGATGCTAGCGAATAGCAGATTCGTTTTGCTCGAATGATTGTCGTTATACCACAAGTGAGCTTAGAGATGTCTTTACGCTTTGAGGTTGCTGGCGCCATGTTTATGAGCAATTTGTCTGGTCCAGCTGCGGTTTGAGCATCGGTTGCATCTTTGCATGCTCACCGCCGCTGCATCAACGAAAAATGAATAACTCTGTATGAAAGCCAGTGAGAGAAACCAAGAGACATATTGTTCCTACTAGAAATCAATAATTTGAAACGTGCAATATGTAATCCGCCGTGAACTCGAAGTCTTCGGAGCTTTCCCGCGGGATCCAGGCGTCTGGTGCACCCGCTGTCAGGACCCCGCGCTACCCCGCAACATGACGCCACCCGGACGGCGCCCGATGCTCTTCCAGGATAAGCATATCTGCAGCCGGCTGATGTCCCCGACATGGGTACTGATACCGTTAGTCAAGGTTCTGTATATCTTTCGACTACATGTGTATAATTGCGAAGAGAGAAGAGAAAAAGCAGATCTGGTTCTCAGTATCAGTCTATCTGCCAAGTCCTCCCACCGGTGATCCCGGTACTACAGAGTCAGCCGTCGGCGACAGCAGCCGAGATAAGATCACGAGTTTACTGACAGAACTTGGCCGATTCCGTCGTGCAGAGCCTCATGATTGGCAATTTTAAGGGTTTCAAACATCCAGAGGCCAATCGCTTGGAATGATGCATGCCTTGCAGGATCCTCCACCAAACCACGCAATCATGGAGACGGCGCAGAGTAATATCTCAACCGGGCCTGAGGAGTATAAAGTAGCTATTAGCTCGTCTATCATAACGAAGATTCCTCCCAGGCATCAGTCTCAATTTTCAGTGACAGTCGTGATACATCGTAGCCTGCTTTCCCGACAACAATGCTCGCCAACTTCCTCACCACGGCGCTGGCCTTGGCCGCGGTCACGTCCGCCTCTCCAATCACCAGATCTTCATCGACAAACGCGTGGGATCTAGACTGGATAACAACAGATTCATCCCTCCCAAAAGTGATGTAAGTCCTCCACCAACCCTCACAAGCACTCCCATAAGCACACAACTAACCCCAAACGTACACAGCATCTACAGCGCAGGCGGCACAATTCTCTCCGCCTCAAACTACAGTCGCCTAGATAACATAGCCTACGGCGCCGGCGCCTCCCCGACGCCCTATGACCTCATCGGAAACGTCTCCGAGGTCCTCGAGGTCGCGCAGCTCGCCGTCGTGGAACTCGATGTCCCCGGCGGCAGCGCGGGGTTGAATTCGTCGTTGTATCTCAACATCAGCCAGCTTGCTAACTCGCAGATTTGTGCCGAGGGGAGTGATGTCGCTGGTGCGATTATGTTTCATGGGACGAATACCCTGGAAGAGACGGTAAGTGATTTATGACTAGGTTGTTGAAAAGCTTGGCTGATGAGAAGATTGCTAGGCTTTCGGCGTGGATTTGACGTTTAATTGCTCCAAGCCGTTCGTCGCCACGGGATCCATGAGACCTGATACGTATGTTTCGCCTGATGGGCACGCGAATTTCTACCAGGCTGTTGCGGCTGCTGCTTCGCCTTCTTCGCGTGATCGAGGGGGTCTCATCGCCTTTAATGACAGGTAAAGTTTTCTCACGTAGTTTCATCAGACCCATCACATAGTGCCTTACCAGTGGGGAGAGGTGGAAAAGAGCAGACAATCGGAGAGTGAAAGCAATGTCAATTGACAAAAGCACCAAAAAATAGAATCACCTCAATCTACTACTCCACCAAAGTCAACGCAAACACACCAGACACATTCAAGGCCCTCGAGCAGGGGAACCTCGGGGCTTTTCTCGCGGGCCAGCCATATTACTTCTTCGACGCGGCGTATCCGACGGGGCGGCCTTATTTTGATGTCTCGGGAGTGACGGAGTTGCCTTCTGTGATTATTGTTTACGGTCATCGTAAGTTTCCTTTCCAAAACGAGTTAATCTGATCACTTTTTTCTACGCGATAGGAAAGGGGTGTTAGTGGTCTAGTACAAGGAGAAAAAAGGAAGTTGACACTTGAGTTCGCAGAGGGATTTGATGCTTCGTTGATGTACTCTGCCGTCGCCAACGGCGCAAAGTAAGTTGGTCTCGGAGCAAACATCGCTGAAACGAACAAGAACCTGAGCTAATGCCGCGCCGTCAGGGGCTTAGTGATCCTCGGACCCGGCGCGGCAGCCGTGAGTCCCAGCGCCCGAGCCGCAGCCGCGGATCTGCTGGAGCAGCGGGGGATACCCACCATTGCCGTCGCGCGACCCGTCACCGGCACCGGCGTTCCGAGTCCCTTTCCCGGGCCGCTGTACGTGAAATCTCCTTGTCTCTCAATCATTAAGCCAACCCTGCGTTTGCTGGAAAGGAAGCTCTCGAATATTCGCTGACACGGGCGACAATTAGGATCTACTCGAGTTACCTCGGCGGCGAACAGGCGCGCATCATGCTGCAGCTCGCTATCGATGCCGGGTATGATATTGATGCGATCCGGGGCTTGTTCGAGAGTCCTTTGAGGAGGGCTATCTATGATACCCCTGCGAACCAAAAGTTCTATTACTCTAGCTGAAGCAACATGTTCAATGGTGAAAGAGATGGTATGGTCGAGTGACCTCCGACATATGATGATACAGTAATGATACAGGAAAAAAGACAAACGGTGTCACAATATATGGCCCTGAATGTGGCACATCATTGTAGTTGAGCCAAGGACAGGAGGACGAAAGAAAGAAGAAGATGGGGGGAAATCACAGCGCTATCATTACATTATTCTTCACAATCACCTGCCGTCTATGAATATAGTGCCGGGAAGAAGTTATTTGGTGGAATGCATACGCATCAGGCCAGCTTGGGTCTGTTGGCTGAATTGGAAGACGCATCTAATCCAAATGAAAGTAATCTAAAGAGAAAATGTCAGGTCAAGGCCAAGTCATCAACACTTGCAGGTTTGGATACATAAGTAGTCGTATATACAATATATAGCAACGATAATAACTATCTTCTCCAATTTTTTTCTTAAATCAAGGCGCTTTCGGAGCTTCACCACTTTGTACATGATCCAAAATACTAAGTCGCCTGTGGGAGTCACATCTCCTCTTTCGGTACATCATTGGGAATTGCGAAACTCCCTCAGAAGTCTCGCAACTCTCGTCCGCCGAGGGGCCGAATCGAGTCGGAAAACTTACCGAGCGGGCCTGCTAAGAAGCGGCTCCTGGTCATCGCCCTCGTGCTCGTCGGCGAGCTTCTTGGCCTTGCTGCCGGCGAACGGCCAGTAGCCCTTCTCGTTGCAAATCATGGCGAAGAAGCCCGCGGCGACGGCGACCCAGTAGAGGTTGTAGGAGACGACGGAGCCGACGGTGGCCGAGTTCTGCCAGCCGAGGACGGCGTTGAAGATGCCCCAGAAGCCGCCTCCGTTGAGGTCGGGGTTGCAGCACTGCGTATTTTGTTAGGATCTGGTATGCTGACGGTAACGATTGAGGAGGTCAGGGGGACTTACGTTGACGTGCCAAACGCTTCTGCGGACGTCGTAGGAGCCGGGGCCGGAGCCGAGTTCTGCTGCGTCACCTCCGACGATTTTGTTCCACTTTAGGGGTGTGCGTTAGTATTGAGCCTGGGACTGTGATTGGGAATGGGGGGCTGCTCACCTCGTTCTGCTCAAAGTGCCAGACGCCCTTGGAGAAGAGACCGGCGGCGATGAGGTACAGGAAGCAGGTGGAAACGATGAGGAAGATTTGGATCGGCGCCGTCTTGGAACCCCTTTTTAGACAAGCAGTCAGTAGGTGTTGCGTGTGGCAACGTCAAGATTCACCACGATGAACTCACTTGTAGATAAAGTAGCCAACAAAGGCACCGAGCGCAAGACCGAGAATAGACGAAATGGCAATAGACGCAGCAGTCTCGCTGACGCCAACACCAGCAATGAAGAGCACGCCCTCGAAGCCCTCACGCAGGACGGTGATGAACGGCAACAAGAACAGGGCGTACTTCTCGCCGAGGTACTTCAAGCGGTCGCGGAAGGGACCAGAGTGGGACTCGCTCGCGTTCAGGGCCTTGCTCAGCTTCACGCGCCACTTGTCCTGCAGCTTGGTGACGCGCAGGAGGACGGCGCCCATGGCGGTGATGATGAGGGAGGCGCCGAGGGAAAAGATGCCCTCCCAGATGCTCTCTGCGGCGGCGAACTGTTCCGCGCCGAGGGAGTGGATGCCGCTGATGATGGCCATGGCGATGACGACGCAGGTGACGAGGCCGGCGGCGGTGCCGAGCCAGACCTGTTTGACCATCTTTTGGTGGAGGACGGGGTCATCTTTGGTGGCGAGGGTGCGCTTGATGAAGGCGAGGAGGACGGAGACGATGATGGCGGTTTCGAGGGACTCGCGGAAGGTGATGAAGAAGACTGTGTTTTTGTGAGCGGATGATGAAAAGTATGGATGTATGAGGCTACATACTAGGGAGTGAGAATAGGTCCTCCATTGTGAGTTTGTGTTTGTGATGTGCTCGTTGAGTGTGTGAGCAAGGTTGAGATGAGTGGCGACTTGGTGTGGAATGAGATGAGAGATAATGTCCCAGTGAAAATGAGGCGCGGCTGCGCTTAGGATGCGGCTGCAGCGCTTAAGTGTGTAGAAGCAATAGCGATATTCTTCAGTGAAATGAAAGACGAAGGCGAGGTTATGGCGCTGCTTCACGTCTCAAGGGCATTGCAGGATTGAGAGCCGCAATATGTGATGATGGTGGTGGTGTTGAATATCGGGCGACGATGAGGTGGGATGAGGGGACGTGACCGAGAATGGATTTGAGGCAGGATTAAGCGGCTCTGCCGAGAAAGAAACAGACACGGCTGGCACTGACAATACCCAGCAATGACATGCACACGGGACGGGCACGCGGGGCTTAGGCGAAGGATCAACGAGACGGAGGGAGAGGTGAAGTGGTGGCTTCGGGGCGCCGAGGTGAAGGTGTCGCGTGAGAGTGCGGATTCCGAGTTTTTTCTCTGCCAGTTTAGTCCCCCGCCGATTTTCACCGTCGTCTATCGCGCCAGCGATCTCGGCTGGCGTCGTAAAGCCGAGTCTTAGGTTCTTTTGGCACAAAGAGTGCGGTGATGTGAGTGGGGCAGGGGTCCTCGGGGGGGTTTGCCTGCTGACTGAGCCACCTGGCCATGGGAACGGGTGCGCTGGCGTCAGTGCTGGCGCATCTCTGACAGGCTTCACCCAGGGGGGCACCACGCTGTAACACTGCTGTAGTGGTCGTGTTCGATCCTCAGGATCAGATAAACCCCCCCAGAACGGAGTACCTCCCCTTGGATCCGCCCACCGGCGGCACACTTCAGGCAGTCCCCCCACCAAATAGCGGGTACTCTTCAGGGAAGGACCAGGCAGGCAACGGCGGCTTTTCCTTATCAGATCGCCAAGATTTCAATCCATTCGTTTGTGCAATTTTCAATCAGGCGACACGAACCTTTTTCACGTGTGTCTCACTTTCATTCTCACTCTCACATTCACTCTCACTTCAGTCCTCACATTCACTCCCCCAACCACGCAGTCAAGTAATAACTCATCTTTCACTCCCCTCCTCACCTGCGAGTTTCCCCTCCTCCTCGCTTCCACTTGCTCTTTTCTCCGAGCCCTCGCGTCTGGTGTATATTCCGTGCAGTTATACACTGCGGAGTACAGCTGCCCACCCCTCCCTCCCTCGATTGCCGCCGCCCGCTATCAAAAAGTCTCGGACGTCCAATGTTCCTCCGCGCTCGGCCCGGTTCGTAGAAGCTTTTTTTTGTGGGATTTTTCCAGCGAGTCTATGAATCACGACCACCTCTCGCGCATCTGGACGCCCGTGCGAGACATATCAACCTGAGTGAGGCATCATTTGTTCCATTGCCGACCAGAGTTGAGTTGAGAGTTGTGAGGGCATTTTGAGCCGCGCCAAAAGGGCACCTCATCCACCACCACTACCGAACAAGTACACTGAATAAGGTCGGACTACCACACCGGAAGCAACCCCGGCCACCATGGCCTTCTCATCCTCAACATCGGCCGTCTTGGCCCGCGTCGCCGCCCTCACGCTTCTCATATCATCTGCCCTGGCAAAGACCATCGAGCTCGACTGGAACATTGAATGGGTTCTCTCCAATCCCGACGGCGCCTTCGATAAGCCAACCATTGGCGTAAACGGCCAGTGGCCTCTGCCTCTCATCGAGGCAACAAAGGGCGACAGGCTCGTTCTCACCGTCCACAACCACCTCGGCAACGCGAGCACCAGTCTTCACTTCCACGGCCTGTTCCAGAATGGCACCAACCACATGGACGGCGCCGTTGGCGTCACCCAGTGCGCCATTCCCCCTGGTTCCTCATTCACCTATGATTTCAAGGTAAGCTCTCCTTATAGACTCTTTACACAAGCCTATACTCATGCCATCTGCAGTTTGATCAAGTCGGCATCTACTGGTACCACGCCCACAACGACGGAACCTACCCCGAGGGTCTCCGCGGCCCTCTCCTGATCCACGACCCCAAGGGTCCCTACGAAGGAAAGTATGACGAGGAGCTCGTCCTGACTCTCTCCGACTGGTACCACCAGTCCACACGCACCCTCATCAAGGAGCTCATCAGCGTCGAGAACCCTACTGGCGCCGAGCCCGTCCCCAACGCCGCCCTCCTCAACGACACCCAGAACCTCCAGGTCAAGGTCCAGCCGGGCAAGACCTACCTGATCCGCATGGTCAACATTGGCGCTTTCGCCTCCCAGTACATCTGGTTCGAGGGCCACACCCTGCGCGTCGTCGAGGTCGACGGCGTCTGGACCGACGAGGCCGAGGCCGAGATGCTCTACATCGCCCCCGCCCAGCGCTACAGCGTGCTCCTGACCACCAAGAAGGACGCCTCGGAGAACTTTGCCATTGTGGGCTCCATGGACGAGGAGCTCTTTGATGTCATCCCTGATGGACAGGACTCGAACGTTACGGGCTGGCTCGTCTACGACGACAAGAAGCCCCTGCCTGAACCCGCCACCGTCGACGAGTTCGACCCCTTTGACGACTTTGAGCTGGTTCCCTATGACAAGCAGGAGATTTACGACAAGGTCGACTACTCCTTCGAGCTCTCCGTCAAGATGGATAACCTCGCCGATGGCGCAAACTAGTAGGTCCACGACAATTCTATACCAAGCAAAAGTACCACTAACAACCCTATAGCGCCTTCTTCAACGACAAAACCTACGTCCTCCCCAAGGTCCCCTCCCTTTACAGCGCCCTCACCGTCGGCGCCGACAACGCAGCGAACCCCCGCGTCTACGGCACAAACTCCATCGCCCACGTCCTCAAGCACAACGAAATCATTGAAATCGTCCTCAACAACGAAGACGACGGCAAGCACCCCTTCCATCTCCACGGCCACCAGTTCCAGGTCGTCCACCGCTCCGAGGAAGACGCCGGCGCGTTCTCCAACGACAGCGACGTCAGTTTCCCCCGCTACCCGGTCCGCCGCGACACCCTCATCGTCGAGGGCAACGGCAACTTTGTCATCCGCTTCAAGGCGAACAACCCGGGCGTGTGGCTCTTCCACTGCCATATCGAGTGGCACATGGACCAGGGGCTCATTGCGACTATTATCGAAGCGCCTGATGTCCTTCAGGGGTTGGAAGTGCCAAAGGACCACCTTGAGGTGTGCCGCGCCGCTGGGGTGCCGACCAAGGGTAACGCGGCGGGTAACACCAAGGACGTGCTGGATCTTACTGGCGAGAATAGGCCTGTGGGACCTTTGCCTGAGGGTTTCACGCCCAAGGGCTACGTTGCCATGTTTTTCAGCTGCGTGGCTGCGTTTATGGGTCTGGCTGTTATTTCATGGTATGTCTTTTCCCCTACGACCAGAACTTCCCCTTTGTTGGAAGGTGTGCTAACGTCGAGACTAGGTACGGTGTCTTGGAATCTGACAAGCAGTCGAGTGTCGAGGACTCTGGTTCCGATGCGGGAAACCGAGATGATTAAACTTCATCTGAGCGAACAAAATTATATATACGTGCATATAAATACCTGTCATACATGAACAAACATATATGTACACCGCCATATATGAAGAAATGAATTTGAGTTTACATTTATCAATCCGAATATACAAAGAGACATGTCTCATCGTGCGCCCTTGACTCAAGCTGGAGTCAACGTATACTGGCCCTATCTTGGCCATATTCACCTTTCTTAAGCATGAATCGCTTCATAGTGATATTGGGTCTACGATGAATTCGCACTCAAATATCAGCCAAATGATCATCACTCAACACACCACATTAGCACATTGTTTAATGGAGACTCATTAGGTTGTAGTATACTATCTCCAATCGTATAATAACAAGATCTTCGCTATCATACATCCATAAACATGACCATATCTCCGGTGAATATTAAAGTTTGTGGTTGGCATCCTTCGCCTATGTACATTTTCCTCTCAAAAAAGCTTTCTTTCCATCAAATCGTTCCCAAAGGATAATAATTTCCCTTAGAAGGCAGCGAGGGCCAGGCCGACGGCGGCGAGACCCATGGCGGCGGCGTTCTTGCCGGCACCGGCGAAGACGGGGGTGCTGGGGGTGGCAGTTCCGGAAGGCTACAAGGAAGAAAAGAGAAACCACGTTAACAAAAATCATCCCGCTGAAAAAAGAGTTGTGTCTACATCATAGACCAGGCCCAGGCGACACATACAATAACGACAGAGGTTCCGATGGAAGTGACGCGGGTGACGGTAGCCGCGGAGGTACCGGCAGCGGCGCCAGAGGTAGTCGCGGCGCCGGAGGCGGAAGCGGAGGCGGAGCCAGAGGCAGAGGCGGCGGTAGACAGAGTGGTGGCGGGAGCGCCGGCGGCGGAGGTGGAGGCGGCAGGGGCCGAGGACTCAGCGGCGGCAGAGCTGGAAGACACGGCCGGAGGCGCGGCAGCGGTGGTGGTGGTGGCGGGAGCGGGAGCGGCAGTGGTGGTAGCCGGGGCAGGGGCGGCGGTGGTGGCAGCGGCGGTGGTCTCGACGGCGCCTCCGGAGGGGCTGGGGGTCGGGGAGAGGCCGCACTTTGCGGCGGCGGAGGTGACGCCGGAGGAGTAGTACATCCAGATGGCGTAGGTGTTTGCGCAGCTCATGCAGCGGCCGTAGCGCTCGTTCCACTCCGAGTTGGTGCAGAAGCCGTCCTCGCGGCCGAGGGTGATGAGGAGACCTGTTGGGCGTCAGTCTTCTGCGTCATGTACTCCTACTTGGAGGGGGATGGAAGGAAGCATAGACTTACCGCAGTCCTCGTGGCACTGGTAGCGGGGGGTACCGGGCTCCTGGCGCTTCTCAACGGCGGGAACGGAGTCGGGGTACTCGAAGCGAGGGTGGACCTGGGCGACGGCCATGGAGGCGACGGTGGCCAGGACGGTGCAGGTAACGAATGAACGCATCTTGAAGGTTGGTATTAGGGTAAGTTGGGAGGACTTGAAGATGCTTGAAGAAGAAGACTGGAAGGGGAGGAGAATTGTCTTAATGGCAGTCAAGTTGTGAGTTTGGGGAAGCGAGCGTGAGGAGGGAAGAGGGGGGGTGGGAACGAGATGAAAGAAGGTTGGCGAAAGAGGTTATTATAGATTATGATGGCTTTGTTGTTTGTCCACATGAGGTAACGAAGTAATAGGGGAAAGTCGGGTACGGGAAATCAGGTACAGGATCAGGTACAGGAGAGCCGGCGAGGATGCCTGCATCAGATTCAGTCTAGGCTTTCCCGGCCTGTGAATGTGGAAACCCCAGGGAATGGATGCTCATGTCGGCCTCTTCCGTGGTCCAGCTTGGCCGATGAGAGTCTCCATCAGCTGGAAGACCTAGGCCAGGGTAGAGCCATGGTCCACGGGCGTGTAAGGGGGGTTAATACGACAGGATCTGAACAGGATATTGTAGAGCAAGGCAAGGCAAAGCAAGGCAATGACATAAGATAGTCCATAGTCAACGGTCCGCGGAGCAGGGCAGCGCGCGCGGGACTTGAAAGAGCGCGGGACTATTCGTATAGACTCCATGGATGATGGGATAGCTAACAGAGCCCAGTGGGCGAAGAGCAAGTATCCGATCGTGGAAGCTCGGATTTGCCCCGGATCGCCGAAGTAAACCCAACGCGCTTATAGTGTAATTTGCGGGATGCCGAAGAGAAAAAAAGCTCGTACCAAAGGTAAAAGACAAGGCAAAAGATCCTTGTCATGCGTGGTCGTTGGCATGGCATGGGCAACTGCAGCTCAAGTGGAGGTCTACAAGAGAAGGCAACGACTGGATGAGAGAGGAGGCTAGGAGCAGAGTACCCCGCCGAACCAACGCAACTCTAAGTGTACATACATGGTACGGATGCGACCCTTGGGTCTTGGCCCCTTTGACTAAGAGGTTATCGAGAAGGAGGGGTGGAGGCTCGGAGACGGGGGATATGGGACATGGGAGTCAGAAGGAATCTAGAGTCCCGACGTATGTGCGAAGAGCAGAGAAGAGGATCTTGGCGGGGAGATGGAGGAGAGGATGGACTGAAGCGGATGGCGTCGGCCATTGCCCGGCTGCTCTATCACTCTCGCCGTTCGGTAGAGCGGGTTTACTTCAGAGAAGGCTGATTGATGGTTATGATAGCTTGCTCGCTCATTCGTGATGTCTTCTCGTTAGTCCGAGAGCGAGTTCCTCCCGGAAGTCGGAAATACCAGCAACGGGTGACCTGATGGCTGATGCCAAGGGCTGAAAACATGCGGTTTGGCCGAGAGAGGAGCGAACGTCACGAATCGGCCTTCCCAAAACGGGCTGTCTGATCCGTGGCAACCGTTTTATCTATTAGTCTTCTAGTGGCTTTCCGGCGTCCGTATGTGCGGCGGCGCGCCTGTGCCTCACCGATATCGTCGACGGGCTCGTCTATTGTGGTCTTGGGAGTCAGGGACCAGTCACCTTGAGCAGTGTACGTGATTGGGGGATCGGGGAGGTGTGGAGTTGGGAGAAATGGCTGGGCGGCCCTGTGGGATATGACTGTCCGTGGCGTGAGGAGGCGTTTATTCCTTGCGCGAGCTGCCTGAGTGGTGGGATGAATCGCGATCCTTGTTGGGACCTCTCGTTCTCTTTCTGCGGGCGAGGTCGGACAGAGTCAACGTTCTGCGAGGACTCATCCATGTCCGTCCATGCTGCGTCCGGGCTAATTAGGGTTAACAACCGACGGGCGGCCTTTTGAAGCGGAGAACGGAGGAGGACCCAGACCCAGACCCAGACCAGGGGTGGGCAGAAGAGGAGGAGGAGACTGGAGGAGACGGAGAGCAAGTTGTGGGTTCAAGGTGAGGCAAGGTAAAAAGTGCCTAGCGCTGCGGATCTTGAGGATGCATCTAATCTTATCAATCACATCAGTTAAACGACAGCCCATCCAGCCATCAGCCAACAATCTTTGCCAACCATTGTCAGTTATGTGCCACCCAGACAATGGCAGACATCCACGTCCGGTGAACCATTCCCTGTTCGGATATATTGCTCCATGCTGCCAAGAGGCACGAGCGGGCCGGATGGCTTCATATGATTGGACAAAGTGATCTGATAAACTACTTACGGTTTCTTGGTGAAGGGGAAAAAGAGTTTTCGAAACTTTGATTGTGTGTGTCCTTACTTACTGTATCCATGTTGAGAGGTACATGTGGCATACACGATAAATGAACTTCAAGCATGTTTATCCCTCGTTTCCCTCTATCTCACCACCCTAGAGTTGCAACCATTCCTACGCTACTCTGCAACCTGATTGTTTGCCAAGGGAACTTGTCGCGATGGTATCTACAGTAATTGCCTGGGCACTTGATCCCCTCACAAAGTGACAAAGAAACGTATCCGGCCCCTTCGGCGGCCGAGTGAGAGAGAGAAAATCGATAGAGGCGGGGCGGGGGTTTGGATTCTGTCTGCTTCGTATTCACGTTCCCAGATTTTTGCCGCCCGGCGGTCTTCCCTGTCCATCCACATTCTTGGCCATCAATCCATCTAGATACCAGACCTTATTGCTCGTACTCCTCCCCAAAAGTTCCGCTGTTTATGTTATCAATCTACGGGATGCTAGCAGAATCTATGAAAGACTTGAGTGGTACTTCCCAAGACTTTTTCCCCATGCAAAAGAATTCCGTGGTCGCCACCTACACCATCCTTCATCCATGCGGCCGTGGCCTCCTCCCACCCCATCCAACGGGATTCAGCCAAGTCTTGCCATGTCCTGGGCGCGGGTTGTCAGGGCACTATTGGCGAAAGCCTGAACTGAACTCGTGCCTGACTTCTTTTTTTCCCTCACTACCTTCTGGGCGGGATCCTCCCTCTCTGGGCGGATATCCCGCCCTTCGTGACTTCTGTGAACCCATCTTCTTTCCGTTGACATGTGTGAGCGGAGGTGGTTGGTGTAAGGTTAACCCAAAGAGGGGAAAAGAGGACCATGTGAGATAGATCCATCATCCAGGTTACATGCAACATGCAACCAGTCGGCTTGCAAAGGCAAAGAGAAGAAAATCTCAGGTTGACCTGCAGTAGTATAACTTGACCGTTGTTGCCATCCGGTTCGTTCCCAAGGATCTTATGCTAGTTAAGCCGCCCCCTTAATTCTTAATTCTTCCCACCACCCCCTCCACAGTCGTCGTACGCATCTCTTTCGTAACGCACTCTGTTGGTCCAAGGCATCGCGTGTTTTGCCGCATACCCGTCTCTTGTCTTGTTATCGAAAAAGCTTCTTTCTGATTCAAGCCCACATCACGGCAGCAACAATGCACGCCTCCCTCAAGACGTTCCTGGCCCTGGGCCTCGCCTCGGTTGCCTGTGCCCAGCACACCAAGCAGGATGATGAGATGGGTCCCGCTGCCTTCATGTGGCCGGCTGACAGAGTCTGGAGCGGAGACATGGACAACCAGGCTCCGTGTGGCTCAAAGTCTGGTGCTGCCAACAGAACCAACTTCCCCTTGGGTAAGTCAAAAGTCTCGGGACGAAAGTCTTGCTGAAGACAAAACGATGCATGAGACTTTGACTGACGAGTCCCGATTAATAGTTGGCGGAAAGGTCGCTCTCGTTGCCCAGGATGACTATTACAACAGCAAGATCTCCATCTCTTACAAGAACGGTATGTCTACAGAACCCTTGTCATTTCATTGTTTGAGTGTGTGAACTCGGAAAACAAGCACTTCATTGTACTTCGACTCATTTTCACGCTCATGAAACCTCGTTAACCCCCTTATTCCATCACAACATGACTAACAAACCCCTCAAGAGCCAACCTCCAACAGCGACTTCACCACCATCATCGAGGAACAGTCCGTCTCGGACTTGAACCCAGGCCACACCTGCGTCGACGTGCCCAACCCGCCCTCCTCCATCGCAGCAGGCTCCAACGCAACCCTTCAAATCATCTACCGCGCCGACTGGGACGCTCCCCACAACCAGACCTTCTACGCCTGCGCCGACATCACCTACGTCGAGGCCGCCAACTTCAACACCCGCATCCCCTGCTTCAACGCCACCGAGCCCGGTGAGGACGACATCGCCGCCACGGCCTCGCCTTCCGCCTCGTCTACCAACGCCGCCTCCAACTCTGGCTCTAGCTCTGGTAGCAGCGGAAGCAAGAAGCTTTCTGGTGGTGCGATTGCCGGTATCGTTATTGGTGCTGTCGCCGGTGTTGGTCTGCTGATTGGTGCCGCGCTCTTCTTCTACCGCAAGAGCCAGCAGAAGAAGCGGAACTCGAGACTTGCCCGTATGGAGGAGAACGCGAAGCGCTCTGAGCACTACAACGCTGGCAAGGACTCGACTTCGCAGAACAGCATCAAGTTGAACAACCTTCCCTGAAAGTAGAAAAGATGGTAGCCTCGGGATTGTCTGACAATCTCTGATCCGCTACGTTGGGCGAATTTCATGTTGTTGATTGGAAAAGGGGGGAGGGCTGGGATTTTGAATGAGAAATGAAGACGTTTGTGATAGGCTGAGTGAGGCTGGGCTAGGAGATATGATGGGCTGGAAGAGTTATGTGTTATGCGCGATGAGATGATATCCAGTTCTTAGTTTAGCAATGATTTGTTTTCTCTAATTTGTCTGACCTGAAAGACTTTGCCATCGTCAAAAGGTAGTATCAAGTGAAGAAGTACAGTTTCAACTTGACTCTCAACATCCGGGCCAACATAATTCCTCGCTCAACTTAAGTACTCGAGACAATTTGCCCCAGAAGAGACTCCTGACGACGTAAAATACCACCCCCAAGCCCTCTCAAGCGCAATCACAGGAATCTTCTTCTCCCTGCACCCAAAAACATACAACAACGACTCCGCCATACCCACGCCCCCCACAAGCTCCTGCAACACGCCCGTCACCCCGTCCATGATCTCCGGGTCCGCCCGCGACTTGTACACTATAAACGCCATCGGCCGGATGAGGTCGTTCTCGAGCACCAGCGTCTCCAGTCCGTTGAGCTTCTCCTTCCGCGTCAACTGCAACGCGTGGCTGATCATGTCGCGGTACAGCGGCGTCACGGCGGGGAGAACGTTGGCGTCGAGCCTGTGACGCTTGTAGATGGCGGCCAGGTTCTCGACGTAGAGGGATTCGAGGGTCATGGCCTGGAACCAGCGGTGCGGGTTGCGATCTCGTTGCTGGCGCGAGGTTTGCAAGAGGGGGAAGAAGCTGGCGTGCCAGGTTTGGAGGAGGTTGGCTGACTCTTTCCAGATGGCGGCGTCGTTGGAAGGGTCGTCGGAGGGTTTGTTGGGGGATTTAGATCTGAGGCCGTGGAGAGAGTGCATCATGGCGTGCTGCGTTAGATGCCACCACCGCGACGCTTCGGTGATGTTGGTGAGGCTCGATGGCATGTCTTCCATCTTGTATCTGTGTCTGCACCCGTGAGGGAAGTTGCGCGCCTGCGCCGTGACGCGGATCCCCTCTGGCCCGAACCCCTGGGCCCACGGGTGCGTATCGAGTCTTTGCAAGGTATCGAACAGCGCAGACTCGAGCTCAGAAAGACGAAGCTGTTCAAATGGCATGCCATCCTCCTCTAAACGGAGACTAATGAACTGATCCATCATAGCCACGGCATGGTTATGATGCTTCGACGCAGCCTCTGGGTTCCCCGCCATCATCTCAAAGGTGGTGAACAGCATCGACGTCAGCACCATGTACGGCAGCGTATACGTCGTCGCCTTAACGCTGAAGACGGCCTTGACGGCGTGGCCGTAGTGCTCCAGCGCGGCGCGATATTCTGCGCTGACAAGCTTGTCGCCGACAACCGGGTGGAAGGCTTTCCCCAGGGCCCCGATGCCAGAGCAGATTTCCCGGATGGCGATCTCGTGGTTGGCGTACTGCGGCGTCATCTCCGCCACGTGGTTCTTGAGCACGGTGGCGCCCTGCTCCAGGTTCACAATGAAGGACTGGAACGAGTCCCATTGCCGTTGATTCTGGAAGAGGGCCGTCTCGTAGCCCGGGGTGATGAGGACGCGGTGGTCGGGGGTCCGGCGCTGTGCGGTAACGGTGATTTGCCCGCCATCGCCACTGCTGCTGCCGCCAGCTGGACGGGAAGTGATTTGAACTTGGCTATGTCTCTGTGGCGTGAGACGTAGTCCCGAGTCGAGGTAGCCCTCGCAGATACGGTTTGATTTGACGCATTTCACGCAGTGAGGTCTGGCCAAGTCACACTTGATGTGGCGTCTCCTACATGTGCGATACCACGTGAGACCCGTATTCTCCTCATCAAGGGTGGGAACGATTACGAGGAACGAGGACGGGGGCGAATGAAAGACGCGTATAAGAGAGTTAACATAAACGTACCTGCATTCTTTACACCCATTCCGGGTCTTGGGCGCGCTCGCACGGCTCTGCTTGGGCCGGTTCGAAAGCGAGAAGACGTGAAGCTGGCCGTTTGATGGAGTTCTATGACCCGAAGTGATTAGTTGTTGGTCCATAAATCAACGAGAGATGCTCCCATTCCCCTGCTATGAAGCCACGTGCTCTTGCTAGGTCGATCTTCTTCAGACGCTCGTACCAACGACGTCGGCTCCAACGGACCCTGGACATCTCTCTTCTAACGAACAAGTCGCTCACATGCAACTTACGTCTTTGTTTCGCCCTGTTCGGTACTTTGAGACGAAGCTCTTGACAATGGGCGCGATTCTAATTGAACTTGAGAACGCGCGCCTTGGAAGCTGTGAACCACGAACGTAGGCTCGAGTGACCTGGTTTTGGTACCCATGATATCGGTAAACTACTGCAGCTCAACGCGGTGGCAATAAAGTCGAAAGGTAAGATTGGACATGGACATCAACATCAGCAGAACCAAGCAGAAGTTATGAAAGCCGGAAGTCTGAAGACGGTATAGATTTTTGACAATATCTTAAAGATGACGTTTCCCCTGACTACCTAGGTGAGATAGCGAGCTTCTTTCATGAAGTTGATGCGGAGCATCCCGAGGATCTAAGGGAAGCATGGATCATAATCCTTTGATGCGACAAGCCAATCATAGATTTCTGTTGCTCTGAGAGGCGATCCTGACAGCCAATCAGATGAGCTGTAGTACGTGTTTCCTAATTGGGACTCGGCCGGAATCCTTTAAAGTTCAAGATGACTCTGGACAGACTAAGCTGGGTGAATGAAACTCCTACCCGTTGCTTTTCACTGACAGTCCTCGTCTTTATCCTTCTCTTCCTAAGCTGCATATGTCCTATCCCGAGTCTCAAGAAGTTAGATCGCCGCGATTGCTGTTCTTAAGAAGAAACTCAACCTTCAACTCTCCCAACTCTCGTGAACTAGCGGGCCACTAAAACTGACAGCTTTTCTTATCACGACCACGGCAACGCCACGGAGCCTTAGGGCTGAATTGTCGAAACAATGGGAACTGATTTGTACGCCTTCACATAAGCTGTGGGTATGCGTTGAGCTTCTTATTTGATGTAGGAAACATTGACAAGCTCGTCGCATCGTCGCATGTGCGGTTCTTGGTGGTCAAGAGATGGCTAGAGGCAGCCAAGCCTCCGCCTATGAGTTAGAGAACCTCAAAACTCACACAGTGTTGAAATAAAGATGGGATTCCTACAGAGAGGCGATAGAATTGTGTTGCTGGGATGAAAGGTGAAGTATATTGACGTGGAAGAAGCACCTGGGGAAGGCCAGCTAGAAATGAAGTGGTCTGGTGGTCTCAGCTGCAGCCCGCTGGGCACATGGACTACTCCGTACATCAGATACCCAGCTCTAATTTCTGTTGGCTTCAAAGAGCCCAAGATTCGATAGTAGCCTTGGGAGACTTTCAAATCCAACCTTATGCCATTTCCCTTGCGCGAGGATTCGAACGATCTCAGTCGGTTGGGCATCTGCCTACACAATTCGGCAATTGATTGGCGTATGATTGAAGATGAGAGCCAACGGAGCAAAGTCCGAAAGGCAACAGGCAACAGGCGGTATACGGAGACTTTGGTCTACACATTCAATGCGCAGCGATCCAATAGCTCAAACCATCAGGGTCTTTAATTGATGCGCGACCGGGATGTCAACAACCAAAGATCATTCCAATCACTATGAACTACGGATGAAAACGTGGGAAAGACAACTACAAGTCGAATCCTCCGAGTGGTCAGTGTGCTAATGATAGACTATACGGAGTAGTCCCGCAACCCCAAGTTGCCAAGAAGTGCTTGAACGGCGGTTGAACCGTTGTCGGGGACGTGTTTGGGCAACTTTACCGCCGCGTCAAGGCCGGCAAACGAAGAACAGTGCCGGCGGGCGGGCGGGCACCCCCCGGGCGCAAAAGGTCATTGAATACGAAAGTCTATCGGAGCGGTAGATCCATGCTGAATCGAAAGTGACTGCCCAGATTGGCAGTTGGACTGCGGTCCAAAGTCAAGGGAACATATCCTTGGAATGTCTCTCTGGTTGATACTCTTCCTGTTAGGTTAGTGCAGTACGATCCACGATCACCAGCCTAGGAGACTTTTCTTAGTGTCCATCGAGATCCACGGACGCTACTTCCTTCCTCTCCCCGCGATTTGAGGCATTCTTTTCCTTTCTAGTGCATCCGTACGGAAAGATGTGATGGTACTCCGTAGAAAATGGGGCCAAACGACTAAAGCCAAGACTGGGACTTGTGTGCGGAAGTGTGAACATCCTCGCAGCCAGGCCCCTTTCAAGGTTCACGTTGCGGGAGAATCCTTATTAAACCGTCCGATCTTCGAGTCATTTGACTTAGTTCAGACGAAAACCTAATTCAAATAAACAAACCTCAGAGCCAGCACATATACACCACTCTACTGTGTAAGATGAACGGATTGGAAAAGCCCACTGAGTCGTCGAACAGGTCCGCCCCAGACTGTTCATCCCCTTTGCGACCTCGAAATTTCCACTCTTTTCATTTTGCAACTCCAAACCTTGTCATGGATGTCGGCAGTTGGCGACGCTGATGAGCCCCATCTCGATATTAACTCTCCGAAGTCTAAATTCTCAACGGACGCCGTAATGGTCCTGACGGAACACTCGGGCCAACAAAAACTCTCCCTTTTTTCCCTCCGGCGGCCGTTTGTGCCACGAGAATAGATGATCAGAGCATCGGTATGGATCCACAAAGCAATATCACCGAATCCGAGTGCATCGGCGCTCGCAGGGCAGGCTGGGATGCGGTTGTATGCGGTTATTATGATCGAAACTTTGTCTCTTGGCCTACTGCGGGACGTCCGGTCCTACAGTACGTCAAGATAAATAAGCCGGCTCACTTCACTCTGGACTCCCAGTGTGTTCGACGTTGAAGTTTCCCGTAGCCAACGCAAGTCGTCCAACGAGTCCATTCCTTACAACAACAAACTTACACACGTTCGCTTCAACAACAAACAAAACTCCATCCAAGATGAAGAGCTTCACCACCCTCGTTCTCGCGGCCACCGCCGTCTCCGCCGCCGCCGTCAGCAAGCCTCTTGTGCAGCGCAACACCGGCTCCGACCTCAACATCAAGATCGGCAACGACATTGTCAACTCTGCCGCTTACGAGAAGTTCCTCAACACCGAGGTTCTGGCCCCCAAGCAGCTCCAGACCCGCCAGGACGGCGAGCCCGACCCCAACCGCAACGAGACCAACCCCGAGACCATCTTTGTGCTTCAGTGCACCGATGCTGTAAGTTTTGATAGATGACTTGGCTGGCTATGAAGCAGTACTGACAAACATAGGGTTTCCGTGGTGACTGCCTCGTCTTCGGCGCCAGCCCCGGCGACTGTGGTAAGTTTAAGTCTTTACATCCGTCTTTGAAAAGGATGGCATGCTGACGTGAATGTGAAGTCTCCTACTTCAACTTCCAGGCCGCCAACTCCACCGTGATCAGCGACCGCTTCAACGACCAGGTCTCTTCCCTCTCCACCAACACCGGTGGCAAGTGCCAGTTCTACAAGTAAGTAGTCTTCAGATGAGTCTCAACTTGTCCAACAAGACATACTAACAATTCGTCAAAGGTACAAGGGCTGCAACAACAAGGGCGATGACCGCGGCCTGACCTCCTCTTACAACTACAACCTGGCCGTCGCTCTCCCCGACGACCCTCGTACCGTCGAGTACGAGAACCAGATCACCTCCTGGAGATGCTAAGCTGGCCAAAGTGCCGGCTGAATTTTGAGTCAGCCATTTATATATATACCACATTTAGCAATTGAATCATAGTTGTATTTGCTTTGCTTGAGTCCTACTGGGCAATCTTCTGAACTACCCTTCAAAGCGTCGCACCAGTACTGCACAGCTTCGACCTCACTGCTCGTCTTTCGAAAAATAGTGAAATGATCAATCTAAACTTGCCAACCAATGCGTCTGTAGTCATGCATTATTGCATTTGAGATGGCACCGCGGTTCGTCTGATGGAGCTTACAGACATAGCCTAACCTTACCTATGTGAGGAGGTGGTTTTCTGAGGCGATCTGCACGCACTGCCCCTTGGCTCCGAATTGCCAGATGCGGCAGGTTAGGTTTCGGACGACAGCTCTGATTGGATCTGTGCTGTTGCATTCGCCCTCATGGGAGCAGTACCACGTTCAGCCGTCATGCAGCTGTATCGGCTGGAAGCAAACGTACACTCGGCTACACGATTTAATTTCAGCTCTTCTTTCCTATAGGCTGCCTCTGTTCAGCTCGGCTCGTAGCTCAAGTCAATCAAGGTTGTATTGTACGTTACAGGAGCCCCGAAGCTGGATAAGTTTGGTTAACAAGAGCAGCTAAAGCACCCAATGTCACCTGGTGTATGTTGGGCTTGAGCATCTTCGTGAACGCCAACCTGCGCCGCTGGGATGACTTCCAACTATAAAAGAGACGAAACATTTCATCGATACCAATTTGTCGCCATGATCTTTTCGGAAACTGCAAGTCTCTCGCATAGCCTGCTCTTAACTCTAACTTCCAGAGAGTCGGCATCTTTTCCAGAATCTTGTGCTCTTGTGCTGGATACCTATGAGCGAAAGATGCATTCGCTTCTTTTCTTTAGCATGATCCTTTGCTGGGCAGCTTGGTCAGATTCCTCATGCATGGTAGATCGAGGACTCTGCTGACTGGCTGATGCAGGGAAGCATCCGGTCAAGTCATCACGCTGACCCCATCGACGATAGATCGAGCCAGGACCGTCACCGTCACGAGAACAGAGACTAGGGAAACCACGACTACCGCCACCACGACGGCGACTGCTGTCGTGACAAGCCCGACGACGACGACGCTACGAGAAGTCTCAATCACCACCGCACTCGTCACTCAAATCATCACGAGAACAACCACGGCGCCCTGCTCGGCTCTCAATTGTCCCAAGGTCACCTCTACCGGTACCATCTGCAAGAGCTGCTTCGTCGCGCAGTGTACTACCACTTCGTCTATTACGAAGTCTTGCGGCTGCCCTGTGCTCTCAACCGCGTCCGTCGACTTTGAGTGTGAAGAGGCTGATGTTTGTAATAAGATTGGGTGCAGGACTGTGTATGCAGTTGCAACTCCTGTGTGCTAGAGTCACTTCCTCTTTTCATCGAAATAAGGAGATGGGGCGTAGTGAATGATATGAGGAGCCGCTACATTTAGGTGAGCTTCGGGGATTAAAGAAGTTTGCTGCTATTCTCATAAGTAAGGTACTCAAATGTAGCCGCAATTATCCCCTTGAGCGAATGATCTCCTGGATTATGCATGCTTTACTAAACGTACAGAGTGGTGCCTTCAAAGAGACTAAGGCTGCACGAAGTCGGCAACTCGGACACTACTTCCTGTAGATGGAGACATGACCACCCCAAATCTCCGCACGCGATCTCCAATATTGTGAGGGTTTGTTGCGTGATGTTGTTTGGAGGCCGGAGGAATGCAGTGTCGGCCGACCATGGACTTTGTGGGCTATTGTGCCACTGCTGCATTGGGATAATGCGAGTTGACTGCATGAACCGTTTGGAGGAACGCGCAGTAGACAGCTCGAGGGCAAATGTATCCCACCGGATTCAGCCAAAGTCAAATGTATTGTCTTGCTAAAAACAAACATGGATTGAATCATGGATGAGTGTTCGTCCGGCATGTCGCACAAGGGCAGATCGGCCCGAACTGGAACCCAGTTACCCAACATCTCTAGAAGTTCAGACGGTCACTGCCAACATACTCACTCCTCATTGAGAGATTGATCAGTTTTTGATGTCACCCAGGCGGGCACCTTAAGCATGTTTTGCTTCTATACCGTACCTCGGATGATCGGATCCTACCGAATTGACATAAAAAGTGGCCGTCGGCCCATGATGTTGCGACGTAATATCCGGCCGTGTTGGCTGCCAAGGCACAGTTCTCTCACGAGAGCACGCTAAACCAACCAGTCATCCAGTCCAGCGCACAACGGGAGCCATGCCCGTCGGTGAAAAGATCGCTTGAAATTGGCTCCTCAAAAATTTCAAGACGCTACTGCAAAGTCCCCAAGCAGTCAATGACATCAGGCTCACCAATCCTAGGTGCCTTGGGTCAGTGATTGCTGCGGCTACAGGAATCGCGGGGGTTGCGGCCGGGGGTGGTTGATTGTCTAAATCGTCTTTCTCCAGTTCTTTGCCCCCGGTTCCCCCCTCACGATTCCCCGCATTTGTCGGTTCGATCAACACCGAGCACGTTTGTCCGGATGCTACGCTGCGCCGGGGTACAACGGGTTGGGACCGGGGGGCCGGTGTTGGCAGGGAACTGGCAGGGTGGTAGGATGCCCTTTAAAGAAGACGCGATGGCTTCCTCTTGCGCGCGCGGTTTCTCGATTGGCTGTTGGCTTTTTTTTACCTTTTGTCCGGCTATCGTGTTGCATCTGTCAAGTTTCAGCCATAGTCTAAAAAGAACGCCACGATGAGGTTTGGTCTGAAAGCCGGCGGCCTTCTTTGGCTTGCCGCGTCGCTTTGCGGTTCGCAGAGCGCCTTAGCTCAAGATGTTGACTGGCCGATTCATGACAATGGTCTCAATGAAGTTGTCCAATGGTAGGTTCCCATAGTTCCTTGACGGATACACCATTGGCCGTATACTGACTGAACTCTACGCAGGGATCACCACAGCTACATTGTGAACGGAGAGAGACTCTTCGTCTTCTCTGGCGAGGTATGGCGACTAACTAATTCCCTGTATAGCATATTGAGACCGTCTCGCTAACAAGTGCAGTTCCACTACTGGCGTATCCCTGTGTTCGTGATCCAACTCAACATCATCTGCAGTGTACTGAGCTTACTGACATATCTTAAAGCCCCGAACTCTGGCGAGATCTCCTCGAAAAGGTCAAGGCGGCTGGGTAAGATACAGTCTCTGGAGTGGAAAAGTTCGTTTCGTGGCTAACACGCAGATGACAGCTTCAATGCATTCTCCATCTACAACCACTGGGGTTACCACAACCCCACGCCCGGTGTCTTGGACTTTGACACCGGCGCTCACAACTTCACCTCCATCATGACCGTCGCCAAGGAACTCGGCATCTACCTCATCATCAGACCTGGACCCTACGTCAACGCCGAGACGAACGCCGGCGGCTTCCCTCTCTGGGCCACCACTGGCGCCTACGGCTCTCTGAGAAACGACGACGAGAGATACACTGCGGCGTGGACCCCCTTCTGGTCGGAGATTTCCAAGATCATCAAGCCCCATCTGATCACCAACGGCGGAAACGTCATCATGTTCCAGGTATGCGATGATACTCAAGAACTTACGAAAGCGTGGTTGCTAAGTGGAAACACAGATCGAGAACGAACTCAACGGGCAGTGGAAGGATATTGCTAAGAGAGTCCTGAACCCGCCCATCGCCAACTACATGCAGCTTCTCCAGGACAGCGCCCGGGAGAATGGAATCGACGTGCCTCTTTCTCACAACGCCCCCAACATGGTACGTGGCTATATCGAGGGAACTATGTCTTGCGCTTTCTGACATCATCTAGCGCGGCTTTTCCTGGTCCAAAGACTTTTCCAATGCTACTGGAAACGTCGATGTCGTTGGCGTTGACAGCTACCCTTCATGCTGGAGCTGCAACTTGAGCGAGTGCACCGGCACAAACGGAGCCTATATTCCCTACGTGAGTATCATAGAGTCCCCGGTGCAGCTGTGTCTTGCTAATCATTCCACTTGCAGCTGACTCAAGATTACTACTCCTACTTCACAATCCAGTCGCCGTGAGTATTCTAATTTGAAACACTCTTGAATTGAAATTCTAATCATCTTACAGGTCGCAACCCAACTTCCTTCCTGAGTTCCAGGGCGGTTCCTACAATCCCTGGGGAGGACCCGAGGGTGGCTGCCCCAGCGATATTGGCGCCGACTTCGCCAACATCTTCTACCGCGATCTCATTTACCAGAGAGTCACCGCAATTTCCCTTTACATGATGTTTGGCGGAACCAACTGGGGCTGGCTCGCTTGTCCCGTCGTTGGTAAGTCCATGTCGCCATCATATGGTATGTGTGAGATTGGCTCGTGCTAACTCAATGCCAGCTTCGAGTTACGACTACTCTTCTCCGGTATCCGAGAACAGAATCATCGGCAGCAAGTTCCACGAGACAAAGCTTTTGACTCTGTTCACCAGAGGTTCGTAGAATATTTGCCCTTGAAGGATGCAGTATGAATTCTGACATTTGCGTAGTGGCCAAGGATCTGACAAAGACTGAAAGAGTCGGAAACGTAAGTGAAGCAGTGATGCAAGTATAGTGAGATTCTGACGTGTCGTAGGGTACTGGCTACACCACCAACTCAGCCATCACCGTGTCTGAGCTCCGCAATGTCGACAACAATGCGGCATTCTACATTGCCCGTCACGCATACTCCCCTTCAAACACCAACGAGGCTTTCAAGCTCTCTGTCAACACCTCTCAGGGTGCTCGTAAGTCTTCCTTCTACCAAACATCAAATTCTGCGAATCAAATACTGACTTGACTCAAGTCACCATCCCCCAGCATGGTAGCTCGATCGCCATCAACGGCCACCAAGCCAAGGTCCTCGTTACCGACTTCAGATTTGGCGAGAAGACGCTCCTCTATTCCACCGCCGAGGTTCTTAGCTACACCATTCTCGACGGCCAAGAGGTCATTGCCCTTTGGCTTCCCGAGGGCGAGGCTGGCGAGTTCACAGTCACGGGCGTCGATTCTGCCAAGCTTATTGGTGACGGCAACGTTGCCGACTTCAACGTCTACCCTGGCGAGAGCAACGTCACCATCGCGTACACGCAGAAGAAGGGCATCACGCTCGTCGACCTCGGTGATGGCTCCCGTGCCGTCCTTCTCGACCGCAGCGCCGCCTACCTCTTCTGGGTTCCCGTGCTTGACAACGACCCCTTTGCCCCGGCCAACAAGACTGGTGAGTTTGTTCGTTTACACATCCGATACAACCTTTACTGATAACCCCGTGCAGTCTTCGTCCAGGGACCTTACCTCGTCCGCCACGCTGCCTTCAACGAGACTGGGCGCAGCCTGGCGCTCTCTGGAGACGCCGACCAGGAGACCACCATCACCGTCTTCGCCTCTGAGTCCATCTGCGGCATCACCTGGAACGGCAAGAAGCTCGAGCTCCTTTCGAGAGAGGGCAACGTTTTCACCGCCAAGATCGAGGGCCCTGCTAAGTTTGAGGTCCCCGCGCTCGGCCCCTGGAAGGTTCACGACAGCTTGCCTGAGATTGCTACCGATTACGAAGCCACCTCTGACAGCTGGGTTGGTAAGTGATGCCTGCTGCATCTTGTTTCATGTTGATGGAAGGAATGTGATCTAACAAGCTTTCAGCTGCGACCAAGACCAACACCTCCAACACCGTCAAGCCCGCCTCCAACAACCCTGTCCTCTACGTAGACGAGTACGACATCCACGTCGGAAACCACATCTACCGCGCAACCTTCCCGACCTCCGAGTCCGCCCCGACTGGCGTCTTCCTCAACGTCACCGGCGGCCTGGCCTTCGGCTACTCCGTCTGGCTCAACTCCGAGTACGTTGGCTCCTACCTCGGCCTCTCTTATCTTGGAGCCGACGCCAGCTCCTTCTCCTTCGAGAACGCGACTCTATCCAAGACCGGCGACAACGTCCTGGTCGTCATCATGGATAACTCGGGCCACGATCTGCGTGAGGCGGCGCTCGCGCCCCGCGGCATCACCAACGCGACGCTCCTCGGCCCCGACGCCGCGAACTACAAGTTCTCCGAGTGGAAGATTGCCGGCACCGCTGGCCGCAACGACCTCATTGACCCCGTTCGCGGTCCCATCAATGAGGGCGGCCTGTACGCCGAGCGCGTTGGAGCCCATCTTCCCGGATACCCCGACGCAGACTGGGAGTCCTTTGACTCCGCCAACGGGTCTCTCTCCGTTCCTGATGCCGGCATCCGCGTCTTCCGCACCGTTGTCCCGCTCGACGTCCCCGCTGGCCTCGATGTCTCCATCTCGTTCCGCCTCACTGCCGCTACCGATGATACGAACCGCCTTCGCGCACTTCTGTTTGTCAACGGCTACCAGTATGGTCGCTTCAACCCGTACATCGGCAACCAGGTTCAGTTCCCTGTGCCGACTGGTGTTCTCAACTACAACGGAGACAACACGATTGCTGTCACCGTCTGGAGTCAGGCTGCGGAGGGTGTTGCCTTGAATGTTGAGTGGCAGGCGGATTACGTCCACACTTCTAGCTTCGATATGAGCTTCGACAGCAAGTCTTTGAGACCTGACTGGGATGAGAGCCGTTCGGCATTTGCCTAGATATCCTGAGTATTAGGTTCATGTCATAGGACATGAGAAATATAAGACTCGGAAGTGAACCAAATCGTTTCTATTACTGCAATTGTGAGAACTTTTGAGACGCGACGCGACCAAGTTTTTCAAGGATAGTTCTATGAAGATGGATTATGTCAAAGTCTCTCCGACAAACTCCATAAGCACGCCTCGACTTTCTGCTTTTGAGAGTCAGAGCCATGCTGCCAATGCTCATCGCTCATAGCACCCCCGATCACTCGAAGATGAGAGCTCTCTCAGTCGTTGCCTATCGAACCACCGGTCTTTTGGGGCGAGTAGAGTGCCTGCTCTTCAACAAACGTCTAGGTATACTTGCCCTCATATGGGCCATGATGGGTGTCCAAGGACAACGAAGTCAAAGAGTTGTTACCACCCAGCTGAATCCCGGTAGGGTGACCAGGGCCTGAGAGCAGTCTACATCTGGTCGCGCGTCGAGATATTCGGGATACAATTATTGAGATCCTCAACCACGTTTGGGCATTAGTCAATGCGAACTCATGCTTAGCAGTATGCGGTATCATGCCGCCTGCAGGAAAATGTTACCCAAGGTCACCAAGGTCACCAAAGTCACCAAAGTTATCAAGATTGCTTGAACTAAGGTCACCAATCGGAAGTCACCAAAGTCTTCAAAGTCACCAAAGTCACCAAAGCCACGAAAGAAACATCATGGTCTGATACGGTATGGTGCTTCCTGCAAGTGAGAATGAAGATTTTGAACATGGAATCGACAGGGAAGGAGCACACCGAAGGTCAATGTTCTTCTCATTCCCCCCTCCTCTTGCCCTTGCAACTGACTTCCTTCCTATCTTCCCATTCCACTGGGCGCCTTCCCCTTGGAGTCTTCTCGCCCACGGCTCTATTTAAGAGACCATCTTCAGCCTCTGGACAAAATTATCTCTTCCAAACACCTCACTTTCTTCATCCTATTCTTTCTTCACAGTCATATATCAATCATTGACAGCATCGGCATTGCAATCGTTTGCTCGAATTTCACATACATGAGGCTCAGGTAGCTACTTCTCTTCTCAACCATGGACTATGTGCCGGGTAAAGAGATAGTGGTCGCTCGCTACGAGCGTACAATCGAGAAGATTGCAGAGAGTGGGTCCTCTGAAGTCAAGGCTTGGCTCACCAAGAACACTACGAACAATGTTCCATGGGTCCTTCGGGCCTTACCGGAGTACGTGCAAGTTCTCAAGAATCAGTTTCCCGGAGTTCTGGACGTTATGAAGCATTCTCGCAACAGTGGCTGCGTCAACGGTACAGCACTTCTTTCGATCGAGCAGAAAGTTTCCACCGTGGATGCAGAGAAGCGTCCGAAGTACCTATATCGAACTATACATGGCGATCAACCTTACGGAGGAATCAAAGCCAGATTGGGTCGAGGGACCGATCCAATATTCTTACACATCCACCTGCGCAAGCACCTTCGCTGGCGCTGTCGGGAACTGAGTCCGTTCCTCTCGGCAACCGACAGTAAGGAAAAGGCCATCCGCATCGCCACTTTGTACGACCTGCGGGGGTTGCAGAACATCACGATCCTGAGATTCAAAACCACTGGCTCGGCTTGGGACCATGGAGTGCAGCGCCTTTGGGATCCCAAATTACTGCTTCGGGACCTCAATTTGTACGGAGACCTTATGCCGTGGCTCGACAATGAGTTCCTTGTCGAGCAGTCCATTCCAGAGTCGAGCATCACCGAACGCTGGGATTGGGGGAGCGAAAGTCAACGAAATGAAGTCGACCCAGGTGGTCGCTACGAGGAGATTGCCAAATTTTACTACAGAGGAAAACACAATATGGCCATCAAACGAAAGGAGAAGCGCGACGCCGTGAAGAAGGAAGCTGAGAATTTAGCTTCGAGAAAGCGCAAGGTCTCTGAGGAAGGCGGCGAAACCGGCAAAGACAGAAACACCGGCAATGACAATGAAGATGGATCGGAGCCTGAGCAGAAGAAACGAAAGTACGGCAAGCGGGTCAACGTTGGTCCTAAGATGAGACGCGACGGTGGTGCTTGAGATGGTTCATTTGCAGTTACCTGGTACATGGAAAGGAGTTCTTTGGTTCCAATTACGGTTCTTTTGTTTTTGCGAAAGATGGTTATTTGCGGCAAGGTTTATGGGTGGTACACGGTTTATGAGATCAGGTCATGGATTTTTGGGAGCGCATCATCACTTTGCAATTTATCAGACGCGCAACGGACCTGAAGTCAAGGCCTCGTTAGATATTCGGAATTCTATAACTTGAACTCATTCGATTTTCAATGGCGTTCATTCTCATCACTCTGTTGGCCATTCATGTAAAGTGATGTCGTATTGGAAAAGGTGCGAAAGACAGGTGTCTAGGTAGTGTCGATGACTCGTACGGCAAGTGGCTATTCGCATCCAAGGAAGCGGCGATAATCAACTCTCCGAACATGAGAAGGTAGTATCTCCTCAGGCAAGGCAGGCATGTGTCTCTTATCGAAAGTTGGGTAAGAGCAACGAGAAAGCGAGGCAATGCTCATGTTTGCCTTCGTGGCTCTGACCGCCAGCATCTGTCGTTGCTCTTCTTCTCGCCAGCATACCAGTCTACTTGTATTACCATTCATCTCATCGCCACGTCATCACGCACCACAGCAAAAAATACCCAAAGCAGCTTATCATGTCCGAACTTGTCGACTTCAAACTCTTCGAACTTTTACCAGAGGAAATCAGACGCATAGTATGGCGCGAGGCCCTCGAAGACCGATTCGTGGTCGTAGCCCCCAGGGTGGACTGGCTTGCTCGAAGAAGTCGTTTGCCCGCCATGTCCGCTGTCCATCGAGAAAGCCGCAAAGTTTTCTTGGGAATGTACATTCGGCTGATCAGCGAGTCTACGGGCATGCCTCACACAACAAGTTCCTTTGATTGGCTCGTCAAAGACCATGTCTACTTCAATCCTGATGTTGACACCCTCATTCTCGGTACGATTGTCGACAGACTAGGGGGCTTCCGATTTGCGCTCGCCAGCCCTCAGTGGCATGTAAAAGTTGGTGGCTTGGGGGACTTAATTAAATCGCCAATCTTCCCGGGCTATATCAAAAAGCGACTTCGAAAAGTGCGTTTACACGACAGCTGCTTCCTGCAGCGGATATTCAATCGAAGACTTGATAGAGGCGAAACCCTCCATTCTTACAGCCCTTTCAACATTTCCGGCACATCGGGGCCCATTCCACTTCCCAGCCTTCAATTCCCATGTCTCGAGGTCATCCACCTGGTTTCTCTGCTTTGCGTTCCAATACCAATAATCACGCCGCAAGGTCGGGCAGGATTTTCCATGCGTGGAAGGGCAGTTCATTTTCGTTACATACTGCCCACCAATAGGCTTTACTATCATAACGACGCGACCCTACGTTACGAGTACCTTGAAGGTATACGGCCGAACTATCGCATTCCTGACGATCACTTCAGGGTCGACCCGAATGATAGTTGTGGTATCCGCATCGACATCTCTCGCGACGGCAATGTCGATTGGATTACTGACACCTAGTTACCCGTTAATGGATTCCACATGATGCACTTTGCTTGGAAGATTGCTATGGAATACGTTTCGATGCGCCTGGGCGAAAGTTAGGGGTGATAGATGTCGTGAACGCCTTCTCGGATACCTTCGGTCCGTTAGGAAGCACGATGTGTGTGTACGCAAGGGACTTTCAGAGTCAGCGTTTTAGTAGATAAGCCTTCACATTACTACTACTGAGCATGTCCTAGGGCGGACTCCAAAGCTCTTTTCTATTGAATCAATTCTGGTATGGATTTTCTTGCGTTATTTGTGACCTCGTGGCCCCGCAGATGTTGCAGAGAGATGTCCATGCGATGACCCGATTTCCCCCACGAACCCCTTGGGATCGTCTCCCTCTCCACCAACTCCTCCCACTCGTTATGAGATTTCAGCATGTATATTCTCGACTTTATGTTTCAGGGCTAAATTGAGAGGACTCCGTTTCTAGTCAGTCAACTGTCCGGTATTCCAAGACTTCAGAGCTGAGTTCGAAGCTCTCTCCGGAAAGGAGGGCAGACACCTCTATGCTCCTACTCTCGCTCTGCTTCATCACTCAACCATCACGCCGTCTCTCAAGCTAAGTTGTCGAAGTATGGTCCATTCCAGTTGAAGTGGACTCTATACTGGTTCACCAATTGACGTCGGCATGATCAGATCCTAAGCCGACGCGGGCTTGCAAGTTTTGCTTCTCTTCCGGTTAGCATGTGTCTTCAAAGGTCGTGTCGCATCCCACATTCGATTCGAGACCAAAGAGAAATCCGGCAAGTTTGCTCAATGAGATGTATCAACACGCCATCTATCAAGCTCTCTCATGTTGCATTCTTGCTATTGCTCCCTCGCCAGTGTTATTCAACCGTTGACTCCCAATTCCACTTGGATCGACTACCAACATATGAGACCATAAGAGAGCTGGCAGAGAAGGGAGATGTTTACAAAGGACGAGAAATACCAAAAGGCTCAAAAGACTTTGAACTTTTCTTGGATCGTCTGCATTCCCTTGTCAGTGCTTTACCTCATTAACATAGCTCTCCCTCCCAAGTCTGCCTTTAGAGGTTCTTTGTCGAGTTCACAATAACCTGGCATGCCTTTGGAAGAAATTTTGCGAAGATGGATGCGTGATCCAGTGCTGATAAGTTCATCTCGGGTATGGGCCTGGACTGAAGCTGGTCTCAGACGAAGCTATTCTCAGACGAAGGATGAGATTGACTCAAGGATAACTCTATTCAGCCACAGCCAAGAGCAGCGCCGAATATCACTCGTCCGAACACCTTCTCGTCTGAAGGTATGAATCCGTCTGGAAGTCATCGTCTGAACGCCGGACGAGGAGCCATCCCATCCGACAACCTCATCAGCAAGCAACCGCCACATCACAGGCGAGAGCACCTCACAACAAAGCTGCCCGCCCAAACTCACGATGACGATAGTTCCCGCTTCAAAGCACCTTTCTCAACACCAGACGGGAGGCCATCACGACTAAGCAAGCCTACTGATCATGTGACTTCCCTCGGAATATCTTTTTAAATCTACTCCTGGGTTCTCACTGAGCTCCCTTCTTTCCGAAAATCTCTTCCTTCCTACATCTCAGGGACACCAAGAGCTTTCATCCTCACAGTCTACCAAACAATCGACGATGGCTCAGCAAACTTCCCTTGCGTCCAACAATCCCCCTACCGACAATCCCCCTACCGACAATCCTCCTGACATCGTCGTTGAGACCATGTCTTCTCCCTCGCTTGGCAATTCGTCTAACGTTGCTGGCGACAAGTCTGCCGACAAGCCCACTGACGCTGTCATGACCTCTCCCTCGACCGACAACTCGTCTGACGCGGTCGCTATCAATGATCATTCTGACGTGGTCATGGAGACTATGTCTTCCCACGCCGCTGAGATCTCGTCCAACATCGCCACCATCGACAGCCTTGAGGATACTGCCATCTCGAACATTTCTTCTTCTTCAGTTGGCAACACTTCCAACATGGCTATTCCCGACAACATCTCTGATGTCGTCATTGAGATCGCTTCCTCCCCGTCGACTGGCAACTTGCCCAACTTGGCCACCGCCAACAATCTGGCCACCGCCAACAACCTGGCAGACGTTGTCGTCTCGGTCGTGTCTTCTCCTTCCGTTGAAAACTCCTCCGACGTCGCCATCGCCGGCGACTCTCCTGGTGCGGTCATCGAGATTATGTCTTCCCCTTCCGTCGACAGCTCTTCCAACGTTGCCATCGCCGACAACGCCTCCGACGCCGTCATTGAGATCACGTCTTCCCCCTTGGCTGCCGACAACTCGTCCGACACCACCCCCAGCGCTACCAGCCTCCACCGCCTTCCGCTTGCAGTCCGTTCGGTCATCTAGGAGATGGTCGCCGAGTCTTCTGGCCAGCTTGTCGGTATCAGCCCGAACGCGGACGCCCATGCGCGCCGCCCTGGCTACCCTGCCTTTGCCTTCGTCAACAAGGAGGCCTTCCACGCCTTTCTCAAGGCCTACATTCGCATTGACAAGCACCCCAACGATCCCATTGTCTACCACCCTGATCTCATTGACCCTGTCGACATGCAGGACTACGAGTTTGCCGAGGCGGCTTTCCTTGCTCCTGGTGTCGATTGTGTTTACGTCAACCCCCGTACCGATGAGGTCTCTCTTGGTTACAAGACCGACATTCCCGGCCCCGCCTTCTATCCTAGCTTCATCAATCCCAACCTCGGACACGAGATCAACTCACAGCTCAAGATGGTGCGCATCGTGATGGAAGATTTCCGCGGTTGGACCGACGGACACGACTACCCGCTTCTCTACCACAACTTCCTCAACAAAAAGCCCGTCGCCAGCATCGACGTCAGCCAGCTCAAGTACCCCAACATCAACCAGATCACCGTGATCTTCCGTGGCCTTGAGACCGAGTGGAAGGGCGACAGCAACCACTACGTTGTCAACTACAACGTCACCACCAACCGCGTCTTTGTCGACTACGACCGTGAGAACGCCGAGGAGATGGTCGAGGAGACCTTCCGTCTCGAGGTGCAGATGGTGTACGAGGTTCAGTCGGATGAGATGCTCGTCGCTACGGGGCCGGATGGAACCAACGAGGAGGACGATAAGGCGATCCTCTCGGTTCGGATCATCTTCCACCGCGACTCGGACAAGGACTACGGTCCCTACCTCCTCGAGCCCTTCGATCTCGAGGAGATCCTCGATCCGGAGGACTTGACCGACGGCGGTCGGATGGAGAGAATCTTCTGGGAGATCGCCGCCACCGCCGTCAAGGAGCGCCTCGGCGCTTAAGAGGCTTCGTCACACCACCGCCGCCACCACCACCACCACCACCATGGCCTTCTTGTCCTGGGCCTCGGCCTATTCCCTGCAGACACCACCGGCGATGCCTAGCAGCTGTTACAGCTAGCTAGGTATCGTCGGGGAGGTGTCTGCGCGATGGAGATTAGGGGGAGGATGGAAGGAAGGGGGAGGGGAGGGGAAAGGGGGGTGTTTGCGTGTTTGCGGGCTCTCGGAGCCGGAGCCTGGCCGGTGAGGGTCAGGTTCTGGTTCTGGGGGCCTGCCTCTATATCAGAGAAAAGAACCATTGCGTTTCACAATGAGGACCCATATGCTTGTGATTGTGACCATGTCCTACTTCGTGATTATTGTGCTGGCTGCCGTCGATCGCCAGTGCCTCTTCTAGCTTCGGGTCCCTTATTTTGGTCCTTACCTCCTCGGAAAAAAAGGCATCTGAGAGCAGCTTGGATCTGGTATGATAGTCATTACAGCTGGTTGGAGATGTCGAATGTCGTCGTCTAAAGCTTCGCCTTGGTAGGGACTCGCCTCCCCTCGCATTGAAGTCATCCTGAAGAAGGAAGGGACCAGAGTAGAGGAGGGGAAGGAATCTCGCGCCGATTGTTCATCGTCTTCGCCACATAGCTCTCTACCTACATTGCGTACTGGACTCTTCAGGGCCGAGGAAGAGCAGAATGTATTGCCTTCAGGGAATCGAATCAAATGCGTGGGATCACTGCGGCCGAGGAGAGTGAGATCATACCTATGGCTCCTTCGCAAATCCTCAGACGTATTTCCCTCGACGTTTGTGGCAGGAGGGGAAGAGAACACAGAGCCTCTTCTTTTTCCTTACCCCTCGTGTCTAAGGGCCGTTTAGAAAAAAATAGTTGGTCGCAATCACCTGAAGCAATTCCGTTCCCCATCCTCGAAGCCTTCCAATATTCTAGAAACTCCAAAATTCTATCATCGTCATTCTGTTAATCACACACATCGCCTATTTCCAAAACATGGCAGGTAGTCCAAAAGCGGCTTTCCTAAGCCGCCCACATTCCGCCCGCTCGCACCCAGAATAGGCAGGTTTTCGGCGAAACAAGATGCCCACAATTCCGTCAGACCGGACCCGGGCTCGGGCACACAGCAAAGAACCAACCGGACCCAAAAGCTGCCCCTCAACGCCGCCCGCGAGAATACATGTCTCTAAGCTGTCCGCGGCCGCCGAGAAAATGGAGTCAAATCGTCAACGGGGTGTTCAACACGTCTTATAACCGACGATTCTGGGGAAATGTCAGCAAACTACATCAAACGTGCTTTACGTCCGTTAACACCGTGAGCAGATCACTGATTTACATGTTGGAAATCATGCCATGATAATGTCGCCGGAATGAAGATCGAGGCACTCTCTCGAGATATAAGTCCTAAATCACCAACACCCCAAAAGACCTCACGACAGTTCTCCAAGCCTATTCACCACTCTAAACGCTTCCAATATCGCAATGGTTAACGTCGCAATCGCAGGAGGCACCGGCGCCGTAGGCCGCACCCTCATCGAAGTGCTAGCCACGCAGACAAAACACCAAGCCTTCATCCTCTCCCGCAAGGCCCCGAACCCAGAGGAGACTCCCCTGGCACCGACGTTCGAGGTAGACTACGCCAACGTCGACGCCCTCAAGACGTTCCTCGAAGAACACGACATCCACACCGTCATCAGCGCGTTCGGCATCACCGCCACGTCCCTCGCGACGTCGCAGCTGAACCTCATCAAGGCAGCCGACCTCTCGTCCGCGACGAAGCGCTTCATTCCCAGCTCGTTCGCGATGCGGTATCCCAAGGAGTACGTTTCGCCCTCCCCCGTTTAAACACCGCCCCTCACGCATTTCAGATTACCTCAAACAGAACCCTTGGTAAAGTTGCCAACTAACATACCATCACAGCGGCTTCGCCCTCCTCCCACCACTAGAACACTACTTCACCTCCCTCGACGCCCTCTCCAACACAAACCTCGAATACGCCGCCGTCCACAACGGCACCTTTCTCGAATACTTTGCTCCCCCCGCCCTCAAATCGCACCACCCGCACAGCACAATCGTCCTCGACATCGCCCACGCCGCCGCCGCGATCCCAGGCGACGGCAACACCCCCGTGACATTCACATACACCTTTGACGTGGCGCGCTACGTCGTCGCGGCGCTGGACCTCCCCTCCTGGCCCGCGGACCACGAACTCCGCATCGTGGGCGACGAACTCACCTTTAACGAATTCGTCAAACTCGCGGAGGAAATCAAGGGCGAAAAGTTCAGTGTGGTCTACGATGACGTGGAGAAGCTGAAGAGGTCTGAGATTTCAGAGTTGCCTGGTCACAAGGCGTCGTATGCGCAGTTCCCCAAGGAGAGGCTGCAGTGGTTCCTGTCGATTTTTGAGCTGTGGATGGCGACTGGGTTGGGGAAGGTCGAGGGCGGGAAGGGGTCGTTGAATGAGCTGTTTCCTGAGATTAAGCCTTTGACTGCGAGAGAGATGTTGGAGAAGTATTGGAAGGCATGAATAATGTCGTAGTGATGGTGTTAGTGGTAGTGAGTGTCGGTGGTCTAGCGTACTTGGTGAGCTAGAGTTTCATTCCGTCTCAATTTTGAGTTCAGAAGATTGGAGGGCACCTAACAGTCAAGTATGTCAAAACCAAAACAAGCATGCTCATTTCCTTCCACACCTCGAAACTGATCTCACCATGAAATTACAAAAAGTGAAAATGCAAAAACGAATTATCTGCGACCTACGTAGGGATCGAACCTACAATCTTCACAGTATGACTAAGATAGAAGCCGAAATGTGACGCGATGCCATTTCGCCAGCAGGCCAACGCTGACTGATGACAAAAACGGAGCAAAAAGCAGCTCATGTACCTCATTCCAGGCTGCGGGGACTTCGCTCTCCCAAGGAGTGGAAGCTGCCCCATGATGTGGGGTCTGATCCTCCGGTCCCTCGACAAACAATACAACACAAACACTACTTTGTAACAAAGATCTCGCATATTGCTTTTTTGTTTGTTTGTGCAGGCATTATAATTAGATCCCCGAGATCGATCATATCGACTCGTCTCAGGGATCTCTGTGACAGAACAGAAATCTAAACAAATAATCTAACAAACGAACTGGGTATCGCACACAGGAGGGGAGGCCCGCGCATCCGGGCAAAGGTAAGGTAGGAATACACTGCATCGTATCGCAATCGCATCGCAATCGCAATCACTTCACCTCCACAACAACAGCAGAATCAGCAGACCCCGCATCCGTCTGGGCATCCGCCTCGATCCTGCCACCTTCGCCATCGCCCTCGCTCCCCGCCTCGGGAGCCCACACCGCTTCAATGATGCTCATCCTGCAGCCCGGGGGCCTCATCACGCCCTTGAACACGAACCGCTCGTCCGCGGCCCTAAAGAGCTCGCGGTATTCGTCCTCGTTGCGCTCCTGCGCGTTGAGAACTGCCAGCATCACCATGTCCATGCTGCGAATGATGCGCTCGTCCCAGGGCGACTCCTGTCCGGCCTCGCGGAGGCAGTGGTCCTTGATGACTACTCTGGCGCCAGGTTTGAGTGCCGGAACGAGGTTCTTGAGGATGGAAATGGCGTAGGGCGTCGAGTAGTTGTGCATGATCCAGCGGAAAAAGTAGACTGTTTGTGCGGCTCAGTTAGTCTTGGGGCGTTCCCCACAACGCAAACCTGGGAAACGATCGAGACAAAGAACTCACCATCGGCATCCTTGACGGTCTGCTCCTTGAAAAAGTCGTGCGCCATGAGCTGAACGCGCTCTGCAACCTGAGCGTCGTCGCACAACGGGCTTGGCGCCGAATCCACAGTCTTGGGAAGGTCCTGAACCACAAACTTCATGTTCTTCCACTTCTTGGCCAGATCGATCGACACGAACCCATGGCTACCGCCAATGTCGACCATGGTTCCTCCCCTGGCATCAATCTCTCCAAAATCATACGAGTCGACGAGATGCTTGACCTCGTAGCCCTCTCCGCCCGTCAAGCTGAGCATGGCACCGCCGAATCGCTTGGCGCGAGGAGGGTCCTTGCCAAAGGTGACAAACATTGGCTCCTTGTCTACGGTGTCGAATGCAAAGTTGAAGCCGGTTCGTGTGAGAGACGTGGCTTCTGGATAGGCCTTAAGAGCCTGCAAAACGTGCGCAGAAGCCGGGAAGTTGTCTTCGAGGTTGTAGCCCACCCAATCCTGAAGAGCTTGGTCTTCGGCCAGGAGGCGTGATGCCGCGGTATGCGCAATTACTCCATGGGACGGCTCGCGGAAGATACGGTTTGTCATGACATGACGCAGGACACGGGCAAGGTTAACAGGATCCAGTGCCGTCTTGGTTTGGAGCTCTGCCAGTGTGATAGTGCCGTCGATGGGTACGAGCTTGGCTAGGAAATGTTAGTCTCGGGTCCGGTAGAGAAACCTCTCAGCTCCGCAGTCTTGGGCTTACCGATGCCAAAGTGATTGACAAGTTGAAGGCTCAGACTGTCTTGAAACTGCCCAACTAATCAGCTTACGACCTTTACCATTTTCCAGACCTCTCTACTCACACTCCACGTCTTCCACCGAACATCCTCTCTTGGGCCGTGAGCCAATGCTTCGAGCTCTCTCGTCGCAAAGATAATCTCCATACGACTCTTTTGGATGTCCTCGGGAAGCTTGGGAAAGTCGCTGGGGCCATTTGGATCCAAGGAAGGCATTGGAAGATTGTTCTCTTGCATGTACCTCTCCAGCTTCTCTGTTTCGGATGCAATCTTCTTAGCAAGCTCCGTTAACCTCGACGGCGTGTACGTAGGCTTCTCCGAGGCGACAGGCGCGGGCTTTGAAATTGGCGCTCCATTGGGGACATCGTCTCTGGGTTTGGCGGGAGAACGAGTAATGAATGGGGTGAATGATCGTCGGTTTTGCTTCTTCTGCTCAACCTCTGCGGCGGTGGGTGACGGGCTGGTACCCAGCCAGTTGCTAAACTTGAATTTGTTCATCTTTGCGATGGCAGTCAGAACAAAGATGTTGATGGTCTGCGGGTGTCGAGGGGACTTTGTGCTTTTCTAGTTAGCATGGGTGAAGGGGATCGCACGCGCCAGGAAAGGGGGCGGTTCACCCGCTTGAGATACAGGAGCACTAGCATCGTTGATCGCAGACTCCGCCTTCATTAGCCATCTGTGCTCGAGCTTGAGATTGAGCTAGATTGGGCTAAGGCAGGTACATGGTGAAGGGATGCGCCAGACGATGAAGCTGCGGGGCAACAAGATATGGGGGCAAAGGAGTACTATTCGGGAGGCTACTTTGGAGATGCATTCGATATGAGGGAAAGAAGATGGTAAAAAAGGCACTTGTACACACCTTCCCAATGCCTCAGAACTACACGGGAGTCGATTCCCGCGATCCTCTGAAATAAGTTGGGCGACAGATTCGCGGAGAGAGGTGACAGACAGGGTTGCGGCGACGCTCGGAACGATTGTGACACAGAGGGACCCGAGGACACGGACTCGGTCTCGACTGACACAAATCAGGGCCAGCTGGCATGCAAAAGAAACGGTGACAGCTTTATACCAAGTTCGCCAATGGCTGTGAAGTACGGACACGGGAAATTGAGGACTGAACGGTTTGTCTGGTAAACAAGTTTGTGGTGAGTTTGCGGCGATGAGTTTGTGAGCGCCGAGAAGTTTGGGGGGAAACAATCGAAAACTCTCATCAAAACACCAGAGGGACCCAAGGGGACGGCAAGGAGGGATACATCCCAGTTTAATACGACGGACGGCATTGGGCGATGGGTGCTGGGTACGGATAGGTAAGGTAGGGACCCAGAGGACTACTTGGTAGATAGGCAGAGGCAAAGAGGTACGGTACTGACGGGAGGTAGACAAATGGAACGAAACAGCGAGGATGGAACTCTTGGTTCACCGAGCGTGGGCCTTGGACGGAACAGGAACTGGGATGGGCGCTGAATCGCTCAGTATTGCGACGACACCTCATTAGCTAGCGGCGGTCCATGCTTTGGGATCCGACGCCATGGGCTGGGATTGCCGTCTGCGCTGCGTGCCTTTTGCGTCCAAGTCTCTCCTTGTCCTCGACTCGCCGGGCTTTTTAAGCTTGGGAGTGGCTGGCGGCTAGAAGAGTCTGTTCGGACGAAGGCCATGCGCCGGCGCGGAGCCATCGACGATCGCTCAGGGCCCCAAGCTTCCCCCAAGCTACCTTAAGCTGCATGGCTGTTAAGCTCGTAAGCTCCCGTGACGAAGCAGTTCCGAAGTGGCATCGTCGACAAATGTCATGATGAGAGCTCTCCGTTCAGAGGTGAATGTCGACCGAGACCGAAACCGTGTGAGGACTGATGACTGATTACTGAGAAGTGGGATCAGCGAGACGGACAGGGGGCCGGCCGGGAGTCGAACGGGTAAATTGGAACCAAATGGGACAGGGCAGACAAAAGGGGTGGTTGCCGTTGAGGACCCTACGCAGTAAGGACTGTGACTGGAGGTAGGTAAGGTGAGGTAGTTTGACCGGTGGCAGCGTCGTATCAATTCGTTGACGAATCCCGCCCGCCGTTGAACGGGGAATTCTGCAGTGCCGTTGATTTGGGAGCCTGTTCGTCAATTGACCGGCGTGGGTTCGGAACAGACGTGACAGGAAGAAACGGGAAAGGAAAGAGACTGGTCACATTTGCTCGCATAGTTGCCGTGGTCAGATGTCAAGTTTCTGGTTGATCGATGGCAGGCGGCGGCCGGCCTGGGATGTGTGGGATGTTTCCTGGAAAGGAAAGGGAGGGAAGGCAATCCTCCCGGGGCCGCGTCCGGCGTCTCGTGGCAGGTGGCAGCGTGACAGACTGGCCAGTGGCACCTGGGCTTGGTCGAGTCGGGGAGGAAGGCAAGGAAGGGAAAGCATGGAAGGTGCAGACGAGTGCAGTTGCCAGTCACGTACTGCCTGCAGTGTGGGTGCACCACAACGGGCTGTCCCTTCCCTTCCACCTGAGGTACCTTACCAAAGTACATATCCCCCGCCTCGTTACCACACAAGCGGCGGGCACCTTCCCACGGGCGGCTTCCAAGACACCGGTGACTGGGCAAGCGTGGCTGTCCTGCGCACTTGCCAATTGGGCTTGACAACTTAACAGTGTTGGGAAGGTGCGGCACAGCACCATCACAACCCGGTCTTTCCATCCCGTCAACAACGTGGAAAGACCTGACCAACCATTGACCAATGGACTTGTTCAATACCTTGAGGCTTACCGTCAGGTGGAGTCTCAACCTGCAACTGCAGCGGGAATTAAGTGGTTCTTGCCCTCGCTAAGGACATGTCTCTCTGTTTTTCTTTCGGAAGGAACCTAACAACTGAACCATTGACGGCTTCCATGCAAGTTCCATCAAATTCCCAAATTCCCCCCTGCTGAAAAGCACGAGAGAGGGTACCCGCCGTTCCGGACCTGGGAAATGGCGTTCTGAAATCCCTGGTCGTCTTCTTGCAATGCAACGGCAACGTGCTCCATCAGCCAATGCCGCCCGTCTTCCGCCCTCCTTTCTCCTCCTCCCAAGCCACGGCTTGCACCACATTACTTGATCCTATTCCTCTTCCATCAGACACCGCAGAAGCTCGTTGTCTAGCGCTCGCCCATGTCACCTCATCACGAAAACTATGCTCCTCTCGCAATCTCGCCTCTTGTCGCCAAGACCCGACCACGATGCGGCTACCCATGTGCACCTTCTAGCCGACCATCTCGTCACTCTTCACGTCCCCTCGCCAAGCAGAACCCCATACACGATACGTCCGTAATACCGACCATACCGAACCTACACATCACCAACCTCGTCAAAGTCGCACAAACCCACTCCGCTTGCAGAATTCCAGAACAGACACTCGCTCAATACTGAACGCTAGTGGCCCTCCACGAGGCCACAGACCCTATCTCGAGGCAAAGCCCGCCTTAGGACTAATACCTAGTAGCTCTTCCTCAGTGCACTACGAATACCTAGGGAAATCCCCATACGCCGGCTTCTGTGCATACATGATCCTCAATGGCATGTACATCAACGCCGCATTATCGTGATACGCTCGCCGCACGCTGACGAGGAACATTTCAATCTGCTCTGGTGTCCACAGCAGCCCTCTGGTCAATGGGCCGAGGGCAATCGCCTGCAGTCCGTCGAGAAGAATCGTCCTCCAGTACATGCCTACTGTCTTGAGCACCCTGTTTCGCGGCCATGTACCAAGCGGCACGTGGAAAATCTTCTCCGTCACGTTGACGAAACCGGCCTCGCGCATCATATTAGGCAGCCGGTCACCTGCGGCAGCATTAAAGTCGATGCCCAGGCTCGTGAGTCCCTGGGTTACGAAACTCCAATACTGAGCCACCGGGTGTGAGGGCGGCATGGCGTTGTATGCCGATGACGGGAAGTGATGGATCTCTTGCAATTCGATCCAGCCGCCGGGTTTCAGGTGCCTATCAAAGTGTTAGGTCTGCCATTGACAAGTCGTAGACATGCGACTTACTCATATGCCCTGTGGAATAGGTTCCTCCAGTTCTTGATGGCCATAACCGTGTGTCGAGAATGGATATAATCGAAATGATTCCTCGGATACAGCCACGAACTTTCCACATCATCGACCTCGAATTTGACATTTGGCGGTACCCAGTCCGGTTGAATGGGACTGAGGTCGACTCCCAGCACAGTTGCACTCTCAAATTGGTCACCCACTACATCGTCGTTAGCATCACGAACTCTTTTAACGGCTTTGCCAAAAACCAGAGTCTCCCAACTTACTCTCAATGGCCCACGCGCCTGTCCCCGTCCCGATGTCTAGAATTTGCTGCGGCCATTCGCCAATGGGCGCAAAGTGTAGCTTCTGATTGCACAGGAGCTTGACCATGGCATGCTTCATGTCTTCACGTTCCTGCTCCACCTCGTCGTTGGGAAAGTTGTACAGTCCTTCTCGGAAGCGGTGATAGCGTCGCCCATTCTCGTACATATAATCTCGAACTGATGACGTGACGGACGTGCTGGCATTTGTCGCACTATCGCTTCCGTATCCGCCATCCGACTCTGTGCCGTCGAAAATCGAGGCCATGTCGTCACTGTCCGCCACGATGGAGCTTTCGGCTTGCGTTGCGGCTTCCGACGATTCTGTGACCTCTTGCTCGGCCGACAGATCTGGAAAAATCGGAACGCCATTGGGATGCGTCAAAGGCGACCGCAACGCAGGAAATGCATCGCGAGGCAGGTGTTGATTCGCCTCATATGCGTTGCGGTTGGCAGATCCAAAATCGGGTGCTGCTTGAGTCCTTCCCACGGGTTCGCTAGTATCTGTCTTGGCCGCCGCGGGGTCGTCGGGTAGCCGATCGAGCCTGGACGGCTTGTCCTTCTTTGCTGGCGCCGATGCTGTCGCGTCCGTCATTGAGCCGATCAATCGTTGCTGATTTGAATGCGCAATGGCGTGTTCTGTTGTGTTTTCTGCAAGTTGAGAAGAGAGCCCGGAGTTTCGCTCCTCGTGTTGCGGGAGCACGAGTTGACCGTCGGGCGCCACACATTGCTTTTTTGAGGTCCATGCCTGACCAGGGATGCCATCATCCTCTCGCGTCGCAGAAGCAGCTGGCAGCTCGTGTCTGCTCGCAGAAAGTGTCTCAGATCCGACGCCCATGGAGACATGAGCCTTCTGTTCTTTGTCTTGGAGCCCTTCTAGAGACGGTGTTCTAGCGGTTCCACCAGATGCCAACAGCATCTCGCTTGTCTGCTCATCTGCTGTCGAAAGCCCCGTCATTGCGGTCATTGGACAATGTACGCAGTCAAAAACGGCCACCGCCTTGCGCTTCGAGGCTTCAGCTTCAGTCGGTTCCGATCAGAGCTTGCTCTGATGCTGTTGGACTCTTTTGTTGTCGCCTCCGCGCCACTCGAGCATCAAGAAGTTGACGAGGATTCTGGGAGATGGACCGATCTTTAAAAGCGCAGATTCAGCCTGAACTTGTATCATGCGACGAACAAGGAGGCAACTTGCGGCTGCAGTTGTACGAGGCACTGGTCATTCACCATCAGCCAACGCTCGGCCGTGGCGCACAAACAGGAGCTTGGCGAAACTCCAAAGTACAGCACGTTGGAGCTTTATTTGACGGCATGACGGAGGGAATGACAGCTCAGGCCACCCATGCGTCAATTACTTGACTTCGCCAATACATGCAAGTTGGGTGGACAGGTCTGAATGTGATCCGTCATGGGCCCGTTGGTCTGGCCTGCTCTTTGTGGCTTGCCCTCAATATCGTTCTCAAACCAGGCCTTTTCCCTTCTTCTTTCCTTTCCCCCACAGTGGGTACGGAAAGGCTCGACCCCTCGCCAAGACGGCAAGCAATCTATGGCCTTCCCTGGAGCTGCAACTTGACAGTACATACGGATAGATCGTTCAGCTCCAATTACCTGGTCGGTGCGAAATCTCTGTGCCGCAACAACGACCAAGGTGACAAGGTTGCCTGTCCCGCCCGCGGCCCATCCCAGATCGAACACGCTGCTGCAGGGGCCTAGACTGGCTCTCGAGCCGCCGTCCTGGTTGACTTGCGGACGGACTTGACGGAGGATGGGCGGGGTGGGGAAGGTTGCATCGATGCAGGTTTGCGAAGCGACAATGGCCATTCTTCTCTAGTCCCTCGATTTGGTGGTTGGATCTTGAGCAAACAAGTTCTCATTCGCATTCGGATCTGTGCTGTTTCCTTTAAGGCTCCAGCTACGCCCATCGACTTCTTTTCAAAGATGGACTGTCGGACAACTGAAGGTTGCCTTCATTGTCTTCGGATGAACACCGTTCGTGCATCAATTGACGCAAGACGAATTCCGTCCCTCGAAATCAAGATCAAAACATTCCTTTCCAGGAATCACCATTTCGACACGATGGGACGGACCACTCAAAGCCCTGAAGGGCTAGGTCAGGCTTCTGGTCAAGTCATCTGCGACATGATTGGCGCTTGGCCAAGGCAGTAATCCAACAGCCTCACTGTTGGTCGTCGTTTCGAGCTCAGTTCCAAGTTCCAATTATTCGCCATCAACCATATACCATCACCAAATCCCCCAAATTCGCCAAATTCGAATGTTTCCAGTAACATCAATGTCAGAAAGCGCCACCTCCTTCTTATCGGGTGAAAACAACCTCTGCTCGGCCTGTGCATCCATCGACTTTGATGCCTTCGTCCATCATGCCAAAGATGTGGTGGGCAAGTCGTTGGCCGAAATCGACGAACGCTTCGTCAACCGGGATGGCTTAAATTCTCCATTTGCGCTGCTAGTATGTGATGACGACGGCGCGGTCGAGATGGTAGGCATTGAAGTCGATCACGTCGAGAGTGCCTCCGATTGTCCTTGCTACGAGATATTCAAGATACTCAAATTTGAAGGGTCGCATACTTACCTTGTGTATTACTTGTACCCTTCGCAAATACAGCATGATCAGCGAATGACGGACAAGAAACTTGCACGTTCACAACTAAAAGTGTGTTGTTTGCCTGAAGTTGACCGTAAGCCAAGTCCGAGTTACGGTAGAATGGCGAGTAAAATCAAGTTCTCCGAAACGAGCAGCACTTTTGAATTCGTCCAACCCGGCGAGCCAGAGCCTGAACTGTCAGCAGACTTGTCATCCATCAAGTCTGTTTTGGCGCGCGAAGCTTGCCCGCATCAAATCAAATCAGGGAGGGTTCAGGATTGGGAAAGACTATTTCGACGGGGACTTCCCGGGTGGAGTGTCATAGACTGCTTCGCGAACGAAATTGTCAACCTCGAGGATTGCGTTGCGTCAGCGGGGTCTTTCGATGCAGTCGAGTACGCTACCCTGAGCTATGTTTGGGGGTCCGCGCAGAGCGATTGTCTACGGCCTGGCCGCAAACTACCCGCATCCGTGCCTCGAGTCATCGAAGACGCAAAGACTGTGGCGGCCACGCTAGGATTTCAGTATCTTTGGGTCGATCGCTATTGCATCCCTCAGCATTGTGCCAAAGACGCCCATGACCAGATCCGCAACATGAACCTCGTATATGCCCGGTCGTGCATTACAATCATTGCAGCAGCAGGCCAAAGCCCGGACTACGGCCTGCCTGGGGTTGGGAAGACAACGCGAGAAGTCTTTCACACTTTCCAAATCGGATCTCATACCATCAGATGGGTGCCCCCCAATGCATACTGGGCCGAGCAGCAGATCCAGCACTCCAAATGGAATACGAGAGCTTGGACCTGTCAGGAGGCAGCTTTATCAACGAGGCGATTGTACTTTACCGACCACTTTGCCCTTTTGGAGAATGGAAAGGAGGGAGAAAGCTACATCGAAGGCCTGCCGAATCAACTGTGCCCAAAGAACGGGACCGCATGGGATGGTCTATATAAGTTAGGTTCCATTCCAAACGCAGGAAGCTATGCAACACGGGAGCTTTCCTTTGAGGCAGACGTCTTTCGCGCATTTCAGGGATGCCAGTCCCATTATAACCATGGGCACATGGGGCAGTCTGTCCTGTTTTATGGAATACGGATTGGATATAACTGCGAGTTTTCGTCGGCTTTGCTCTGGGAAAGCTCAACATTGTCGGTTCAGCCCCGAAGACGCGCTTGGGGCCAGAGTTGGACGTGGCTGGGATGGCATGTCTCGCTGGAGTCTGAGTCAGCAAATGCTTTTCCATGGCTCACTTGGTTCCCATCCTACCATTCGCAGGTGGAATATGAGGAGTATTTTGTGCCTACTGTACAAGTTTCACTTCGGTACACAGACGGATTCACCTTCAAGTGGGCTTCCATGATGAAAGAAAGGATCTATAAGTTGATTCAGGACCGAGATGAGGGTACCATTGAGTTTATCCTCGTTACGGGACTGACTTTTGGATTCAAAGCGTTGTGGTCCATGTCAAGGGAAGAGGTATATATCGCCAGGGCTGGGTCACGGGCGAACACCAGCCAAGGCCCCACGAAAGCATATGTTCAATGGCCAAGTCTGCACGTTTTGGACGAAACCGCACGCGAATCCTACGGAATTACACAAGAGGAGTTGTCGGACGAGTCTCAGGCTCTCTGTCTTTGCATGGGATCCTCTATCGAATCTAGACAAGGCCATCTCTGCTGTCTGGGGCTGGTGTCGTCTGACGGCGGTTCGACTTGGCAACGATTGGACGTGTTCAAGATCTGGTTTGAAGATAGCAGGGAACATGTATGTCCGGAGGCTTTCGGGTGGGACCGGAGGGAGCTCAGGATACGCTGAACTATGGTTTACTGCTTTGGGGTACCTGCGTGAACTTGATATCGTTGATGGGTGAATGTCTCCAAGGCATCATTGATGGCAGCTTGTTTTCTAAGCGCCCCTCCCCCCTCCAACAACACGACGTGCGGGAGCGGCTACCCGGATAGATGGAGTTAGAGAGCTTGAGAGCTCTTGAGACCCTGGTGCATTCCCCTTTACTCTCTCTGCTTGTCTTTGTATCTCCATTTCACGTTTCTGCGTGCAATCACGACTCTGAACTCAGGATATTTCCTTTTCGTGGATATGTTCACTTATCCATGGTAAAACAAATTTTGCAGATACCTTGACTTTGGAGTCCTATGACCCGTCAGTGATAGCGGCCTAGGTAGCGCATGTGACTTTATAGACGCCCTCCCGAATCTCATTGTGGGGTTTTGGAACCAAGATCGTCCGTACGTGAGCTCGACGGCGGGACAGTTTGTATCTCCCAAATATACTGACAAATGCCTTAGTTCCGGAGGGGCACAGGAGCCAGATAATGAACATAACTCCATTTCTTAATTTGAAGGACATTGCCTGCGAAAAAATTAATTTGGTTGCCGCTTTTCTTCCTTTTCCTGTACACGGCAATGCTTATAACAGGCCATATTGCACGCGATCTCCGGACGCAAGTGAAATCTCTCTAGCAAGAATGGCCTTTGAAGCGTGAAACCCTTGAGGTATCTCCGTTGACGTGTTAGTCATTCCGGTGATACTAGTCCAGCATGGTGCCTCGCGACTATGATCTTCGTTTCGGAGATGGAAACTGCCAACGCTACAAGTCAAGTCAGGTTTCCCGTAGGCTTTTCCCCAGCTGCGACTTATGATCATCGAATACACTAGAGCTAACGACAAAAACTCAGCGGCAGTGTCATCTAATTGTACTTCACCATCAATCTGCAAGAGAATACTAGAAACAGCATCATCTAACCGTAAGCCAACCTCAACCCCCTTACAAATATCAATCAGACACCAATCAGAAATCAACGACAAAGACCATCGACAATGGACGAATCCAAAAACGAGACCGGCAAAGTGGGAGGTGTATACACCTACTTCCAATCCCTCACCAACCTCATCCCCCGACGGGCGAAAAGCTTGATCTGCGGCTGCGTAGACGACATCATCCTCCACAGCATCACCTCCATCTTCATCAAACCCTTCATGAGCTACGTCTTCCTCACCACGGTAGTCTTGGTCTCGATTGCGGGGATCGCGCACCATCCCTTGCTCTTTGCCTTCTTCTCAATCCTCACCTACGCGAACCAGCATATCGTGGATATGGTGATCACCGGGTTGGTAAAGTCGGCGTCTGCGATTTGGGTCGATGCCGCGGTGCTGTGGTTTATTATGTCGGTTCACTTCTTTCGCGAGAGGAGACGACGGCTTCCGAGGAGGGAGTGGATTGCTAGGTGGGACGTCATCACTTTGGGGATCAATGCGGTTGTATACCTTGCCCCGTGGGCGCCTCAACAGGACTTCGTGTATGTCTCGGCCTCGACGACCGCTCCCGAGGATGACGGGTTTCGACTGACGTGGGGATACTACGCTTCCCTACTGCTAGTTCTCGGCCAAATAGAGGGCGCGTTTGCGGAGAACATTTGGCAAACGAGGCTCGATGCCCAGAGGACACCCAAGGACAGGAAGTATGAGTGCCTGAGGAGAGTGTGGTATGGTTTCCGCTTCTGGGGTTGGGTTGTGTCGAATCGGGCGATGATCTATCTGTGTAATATGGCTGCTTGGGATGCGGTGGTGGAGTTGGTGGTTTGGGAGTATGTACCTGTGGCGTACGGAGGGTTGGCGTACTTTGGGATGATTGTTGGGATGTTGACGTTTGTTGTGCTGTGGGCGTTGGATCGGTGGAAGGCGATGTGGGGGGTCAGGGTGGGTTCGAAGGGTCGTGGGAGAGATAAGGGCGACGATGAGGAGGACGATGATGAGGATGATGAGAGCGACGACGATGAGAGCGACAGCGAAGGGGACGATAGCGATGGGGACGAGCGCGAAGAGGACTATAACGAAGAGGACGTTGACGTTGAGGATCATGAGGCGCATGAGTACAGCCGGGAGGATTATTCCCTAGGTTGCAAACATGCTCTAAAGTTTCTCAGATGGTGAGGAATGAAAAGGATGACACGTCGAGGTCAAATGTACGCCGGGAATAGGTCAAGGACGTTGGTCACATCAGACCCAAAGTAGCTCACAACTAACGTCGTTATTAGCTAGCATCTGTTCATCAGTCAGGTAGTCCCACAGAAAGTATCCTCGTCTCATCGCCGCATGGAGTATAACAAGAATCCCAACGAGTGTAATTCAAACTCCTACTGTCTTATAAGAACTACTTGCCAAATCCGGCTAGTCACTTGACACCCGGCCGCCGGCGCCGAAGCCGTGCCCCACATCGGCAAAGTGAGTCAATCCCCCGCGCCACCGTCTCCGTCCTCGGAACGGGCCCCAACGCCAGTGCATCTGCACCTCGCCTTCCGTCTGACATTCCAACCACCAGGCACCCGCACCACCACAACCAGGCACCCGGAATTCACGACGCCATCCAGGCACCCACGACCTACAAAGCCAACACCATCGAAGCATCAATCTCCTCGATTCAGAGAAAGTCTACCATTGAATACCTTACCATCAACTAAAATGCCTCCCGCAGCGCCAACACCATCACTCGACTACACAACATCCCCCTCCCTCCTTCCCTACACCCTCCGCTTCCACCCCTACAACCCGCCATCAAACTCTTCGTCTTCGTCAACGCCCCCCCAAGAAGTCTTCCACACCCACCGCCTCTGCGTAGGCGCCGCAGTCCTCTCCCCCTCTCTCCCCACTTCTACATCGCCCCTCAAAATCCTCCTCCTCCAACGCTCCGCAAAAGAATCCGCCCTCCCCCACAAATGGGAACTCCCCGGCGGCGCAGCAGAATCCCTAGACTCCGACTCCCTCGCTTCCGCCGCCCGCGAACTCTGGGAAGAGACCGGCCTCCGCGCGAAGAACTTCGTGGCGCTGGTGGGATGTTATCAATGGGAGGGTGCTGGGGCCGGTGAGGGAGCGCAGGCTGTGGCGGGGGACCAGGCGTGGGGGTTATCGAGGGGTGGGGTTGGGATTATTGAGGTTGGACGATTGTCTGACGATGGTGCGGTCACGGGGGAGGGGAAGGGGGAGGAGGGGGCGGCTGCGGGAGATGGGGTGGTGAAGGATTCGCACAAGTTCTTCAAGGGACGGGATGCGTGGAGGAAGTATACGTACCTCGTGGAAGCCGAAACCACAGGAGAAGGGGAGATGAAGGTTGAGATTGACCCCGAGGAACACGACGATTTCGTCTGGGCTACGGAGGAGGAGGTGCGTGCTGATCGGTGTGGGGAGAGGGTGTTTGAGTGGACTTCGGAGCATCAGAAGCTAGATATCTTGAGGGCTTTTGAGATTGCGAGAGGGAAGAAGTAAGTCCATGATAATGAGGGTGGTGGGATAGGTGAGATTCATCGATAGACGGGAATGACTAGAAGAAGCGCGGGTGATGGATGCGATTGTTGTTCTCAAGTTCCCTCTAGAGACCTGAGGATCCCTCTATAGATACAATCAATGCATACCTAAATCTACATCCTCACAACCAACTTCATACTCATCAGCCTTACTTCTTCTTCGATCCCCTCCCGCCACGTCCCCCCTTGCCCTGCTGCCCCTTGGCCCCCGACCCTCCACTCCCACCAGACATCATAACTCTAACCTTACCAACCGGCACGACATTAATACTCTCCTCCGCCTTGAGCGCCTTCATAAGCTCAACCTCCCTCGGCCACATCTTCTCCTTATCCTGCGCCCGCTCGTCGAGCGCCCCCTTCTTGGACGAATCGCTCTTCCACCTCTCAAACACCTCCTTCACCGCCTTGCCCTTCTTCACCGCGCCAGGCTGGAGCTTGGCCTTGTACTTGAACTTGCCCATGGCGGTCCACGGCGCACACACGGGGATCGCCTCGAGAATCTCATCGCCGGGGAGAGGCCACCCGACCAACGAATCGAGCAGCGTCATCTTGCTCAGCTCATCCGAATCCAGAACCTCGACGCCCTCCTCGTTCATCAGCCTGCGAATCTCCTCATGCTCGGCCGTCTCCTTTTGCTGCTTCTCGTGCTGCGCGCGGCGACGTTCCTTTTGGTACGCCAGCTGGGCTTCTCGCTCAGCCTTGCTCTGCGCCTCGGCTTCGGCTCTTTGCTTGCCGCGCGCGGAGCCGTAGAGGGCTTCGGCTGCTGCTCTGTCCTCCTCGTCTTGGTCCTTGTACTTGGCTGCAATCTTCTTGGCTTTGTTGCGTCGGCCTCGTTTGGCTGGTTGTTGCTTCTCGGTAGCGGCGGTGCTTGGTGCACCGGACGGCTCTGCGGGGGTTGATGTTTGTCCCGTAGCTGCCTTGTCGCTCTCTTCTTCGTCGCCATCCCCGTCTTCTTCCTCGTTGTCCTCATCTTCCTTCTCTGCCGTCTCGGCTTCATCCTCCGCAGACTGTTCCGCAGGCTTGTCCTCTTCAATCTTGAGGTTTGACAATTCCTCGGCAGGGGACTCTTCAGATGCAAGCTGCTCTTCTGAGTCGTCCTGTCCACTCTGTCCAAGATTCTGCAGAGGGTTGTCCCGCGGCTTCTCATCCTCCTGATCGTCCTCAGAGCCAATATCGGAGGCATCATCAGGAACGTCATCATCAGCTTGAGCGGCATCAGTCGCAGTCTCTGGTGCCGCGCTATCGGCCGCCGAAGCCGAAACATCAGCCGTCTCATACAGTCTGTGCTTCACATGCCTGGCCTTGCTCTCTTCGCTAATCTTGAACATGATGCCGAGACCGAGCAGAAGCTGTGCGGGAGGGAGGAAGTTCTTCTGACCCCTGACCATGAAGCTTCCCGTGGGGAGATACTCTCCCGTAGGAGCAGACTTGGAAACCTGGTCGGCGTTCACCCACCATGCACCCATACCTGCCTTTGAATCCCACGCACTCGAGCTGCACACGGCCATTGTGCCTGCCTGCGCTAACGTCGAAGGAGGGATAGGCGCACCCGGGTCGCTGGGAGTGTTTTTGATGATGACGGTTGCGGCGCCGTGCATATCCGCGTGAACGTAGACGTCGCCCTTGCGGAGATAGCGCTTGTACAACATCTCGTTCTGCTGCGCATCCTTGCCTGCCAGCACCAGGTATCCATCAGACGAGACAAACCAGGTGAACTTTTCGAACCAGATCTGCTTCCGGATTGGCGCAAGGACAGCCTTCTCCGTCTTGAGGCCCTTCTTCAGCTCAGCCTGAATCTTCTGCTCGGCGTTCTTCAACGCGATCTGGGACTGCAAGACCGTCTTCTCCTCCTTCTTAGCGGCGCTCCTCTTTTGCTCGTGGTATCCTCTGGAGTTCGCCCATGGCGTAAGGGTGATATCAACGTCGATTTCCAGATGTTTTGAGGTCTTTTGCTTGTTGCTGGTCTCTTCCTCGTCGCTGTCGGATGCATCAGAGTCGGTCTCGTAGTTGGACTCGTCGTCTTCGATATCTTCCTCCTCTCCCAGCAGCAAGGTAATCGTGTTATCCGCAAGCTTCAGCGGCAGCTTAATGATCTCCGCCACAGGGTTGCGCCGCTTCTGCTCGCGCTCAATGAGCTTGCTGATGTCGACCCAATCCATGCCTTGCTGTAGAAGCCCATTGACCGCATCCATCGCCTCCTGCACACGCTCGACGTTTGCCTCGATCGCGGTAGCCTTCTGGACGTTGAGGGATTTCGCCTCTCGGAGTCCTTCGATGCGCTTCTCCTGGTCGTTTCTCGCGGCGTCAAGCTTCCTCCTTGCCGCAGCCTCTCGTTCAGTCAGTCTTGACTCCAGCTTCTGGCCCTCCAGAGATGAGAAGAACTCGTCAACAGTCTTATTGTAGCCATCGAACTCGATGACTTTGACGGAGGCATCGTTTGCAAATTTGTTTGGCAAGAAAGGGTGGAAGTCGTCGTAGAGAAGATCCGATCTCTTCGCCTCCTCTCCTTCCGCTGCTGGCGCGCCGTCCGGCTTCGATCGGTACTTTGCAAAGATGTAGCCCTTGGCCGTGGCAGAGCTGGTGGCAACTTCCACAATACTCCGAGCCTCGGTCAGCGCCTTCAAGAGCGCATCCAGAAGCGACTCGTCCTCGAGAATCTCGGCGGGTTTCTTGGTGCCGTCGAACTTGGTAATCTGGAATGCGTGGTCGACAAGGATAGGCGGTAATTCGGTGATCGTCGTCGCCAAGCTCCTCCTCAACTCGTCGCCAGGCTTCGTCTTGATCTTCTTCCCCGCAGAGACAGCTGTCGCGCTCTTCTTGACTGACAACTCCAGCGCCGCTCGTACTCTCTCCTTCGTAAGATCGGGAACGCCGTTGAAATTCTGCCGGTTGTCTAGAGAGTAGCTCAACCCGATTCTCTGAGGTTCCTGGCCCTCTCCTTCGGGGACGTTGCGCAGGAGTGTGAGGATCTTGAGGTCGGCGTCGGTCAAGATGACGTTTCCGCTCTGCGTAAAGACAAAGTCAGTGGTTGGATTCTTGTCGCACATAGATAAATCAAGCCACTTACAGCAAAGAACTCGAGGAAGAGGCGGTACTGGCCATCGCTAAACTGAAACTCCAGAATTCTGTCCGTTCCAACCTGCTTAACAGACGTCAACCGCCTCGTCTTCAGAAACTTGCGCAACCGCGCCACAAAAGCCGAGGGCGCCGCGGCGGTCGTGCGCGTAAAGTCTGTAAGGTGGCATCGGAAGCCAGAGTCTATGATGAGCTGCTTCTTGTTGTCGGGCTTGGCGAACTTGAGGAGCAGGATCTTGGAGGAGAGGTCGTAGACGTTGGCGAGTCGCAGGGTCGTGAGGCTCTCTTGGAGCTCGTGGGCGATGACTTTGACGTCGATGGAGGAGAAACGCTGCTTCATGACTGCGGCAGTCGAGTCGTAGAGGTTTCGTACGAGGTCGAGTTAGCAAAGCGAGCGCGCCAGTCTGTTTTGTGGCGGCTTTGGTGTTGCAGAGAGTTGAATACGTTGCCAGTGAGGGGCAGGAATTCGTGATGCAAATGAATAATCGCGGGGCATTCGTGGCTGAGGAGCTTTGAAAATGTGGAATGCGCCACGATGACGTCACGTGCTTGGTTTGTCACCGGG